TCTGTGAGTTCAAGGTCAGCCTGGTCTACATGGTGAGTTCCATGCCAGCTGGGGCTACAGGAGACCCTGTCTCAAAAAGACCTCCCCACCCCCCAAAAAAATTCAGTGTGTGAAAGAGTCATCACCTGTTCTCATGGGTGTCTCTCTAAGGCTCATTTGGTCTCAGTTATGTGACCTTGGGCAAATAATCTAACATGTACTGGCTTGAACTCCCACCTATAAATCAACAGTAAAACCTTCCTCCTACCTCTTATCAGGGCTCTCATCAACAAGGCCAGATGAGATAAGTTAGGCTGGGTTAACTCTGAAAATGCTGTTGTCTTTAATAAAAAATAAAATGAAACCTTTAGAGCTATAAACAAAAATTGAGGCCCCAGATACTCCCACCTCCCTTTTCTTTATCCTTTTCTTCTCCAGAGCCATCACCATTTAGCACTAGACAAAGTTTATTTGCTACCAGTCTCCCCAGATAAATGGAAGTTACCTACAAAGACTTCCTGGTTCCCCTACTGCCACACCTCTAGACCCTGAAGCGTGCAAACTCTGTGTTCAGGATATCTGTGCTGAAGGAATGAGTTACCAGTTCCAAGAACCCACTTTGAACCAAGCCAAACATTTTGTCACACAACAGCCTAGAAACTGAAAAGTCCAGAAAAAAAAAAATCTAACTTCTCTTTTCTAATGAGGAAAATGACTAGCACAGCAAAATTAAGAGCTCATAGGTAGGAAAGACAAGCCAGGAAAGGGCAAAAGCTTCCAACTGAGTCATGATTGAAGCACAATTTCTTCTACTTAAAGAATGGAAGGTGGGCCAGGTGTGGTGACACATGCCTTTAATCCCAGCACTTAGGAGGCAGAGGCAGGTGGAACTCTGTGAGTTCAAGGCTAGCCTGGTCTCCATAGCCAGTTCCAGACTAGTTGGGGTACAGGGGGATCCTGTCTGAAAAAGACCCCTGCCAAAAAAAGATTGGAAGGTGGGCTGGAGAGATGGCTCAGTGGTTAAGAGCACTAGCTGCTCTTGCAGAAGACCTGGATTTGGTTCCCAGCACCCACACAGCAGCTAACAACCGTTCATAACTCCAGTTCCAGGGGATCCAATGCCCTCTTCTGACCTCCATGGACATTGCACAGCGTAGGTGCACTTACGTACATGCAGGCATTACACTCATACATTTAAAATGAAAATAATAAAAAATATATTTATTTTTAAAAATGAGAGGAAACCAAAGGACCGACAGTGAGCTCTGGATTCTAACATAGTCACATGATTCCCAAATGCACATTTTCCAGAAAAAAGCCAAAAACTTTCTGAAGCCAGAACTGCAAAGATTTCACCTGCTTAAATAGCAACTCGTGTGTCAACACACACTAGATGAATTGTACTATTTTCTAGAAACACACAATGTATCTAAACTGACTCATGAAGAAATTAAAAATCCAAATAGACCAATACCTAGCCAGGAAAATGAATAACTAAACAGCTCAGAGCTGGAACTCCTGGTTAGCATGGGTGAGGCCCCGGATTCCCTCCTACCACCACAAGAGTAAAAAAAACAGTGGGGGTTGGAGAGGTGGCTGAGCCAGTAAAGTGCGCCTGCCATGCATGAGGATCTGAGATCGGATCCCCAGCACCCATGTGAAAGCCAGCAAACATCTGTAACTCTGCCACTGAAATGAGAAGGATCCTTGGAGTTCACTGGCCAGCCAGCCTAGTTGAATTGGTTCAGTGAGAGAAAATGTCTCAATAAATAAGATAGAGAGAGGGCTGGGGAGATGGCTCAGCTAGCATTGTGCCTGATCTACAAGCATGAGGATCTGAACTCAGATTCCCAGTACTCACTAAAGAATAAAATAAAAAGCTAAGCGTGGTTGCACACATCTTTAACTGCAGAGGTCTAGTCCCTAGAGTTTGCTGGTCAGCCAGTCTAGTCAATCTTTGTACAGGAGTTCAGCAGGAGACCCTGTCTCACATTCAATGTCAACCTTTAGCCTCCACATGCATGCAAACACACATGTACACACAGAACCAAGAAAGACATTTGATGTTGACAGGTGGTCTCCACATGTACATGTATCTAGGTACCACCCCTGCATGCAAACACACATCAACATGCCCAACAAATCTTCAAAAAAGACCACTACAGTGGTCCCCATCACCACATAAAACCTGGCAAAACCAGACCTGGTGTCTCACATTTGTAATCCCAGCACTGGGAAGATGGAAGTTGGAGGATAAGAAATTCAAGGCCATTTTAGTTACTTGGAAGTTAGTTACTAGAAAGTCAGTACCAGGCTACAAGAGATCCTATCTCAGAAACAAAACAAAACAAAAACAAGACAACATCACTGTTGAAGAAATTTAAAACAACTTAGTTAAGTGGAAAGGCATCCCATGTTCATGGACTAGTGAACTTAACATACTGATGACATTATCCCAAATGATCTACACATTCAAGGCAATCGCTACAAAATCTTAACAATGATCTTTACAAAGACAGAAAAACTCAAAATTCAGATGGAATCTTTTTTTATTCTGTTCTTTTGAGATAGGGTTTGGATACACATCCCAGGCTGGCCTTGAACTTGCAACAAACTTCCGGCCTATGCCTTTCACATGCCGGAATTACAAACATACACCACCACCCCCAGGACAAAGGAAGGGGTAATACATGCACGATACAACAAAATATATCTGAAAATTTCATAATGAAACCAATTATTTTGTATGCTAACTAAAAATATAAATAAAGAGGGGCTAGAGAAAAGGCTCAGCAGTTAAGAGCAGTCCTGCTTTTGTAGAGGACCTGAGGTAGTTTTTTTTTTTTTTGGTCTTTTTGAGACAGGGTCTCCCTGTAGCCCCAGCTGGCCTTGAAAACTCACAGAGATCAGATCTGCCTCCCAAGTGCTGGGATTAAAGGTGTGCACCACCACACCCAGCTTCTGAGTTTAGTTCTTAGCAGTTGTTGGTGACTCACAACTGCCTGTAACTCCAGCTCCAGGAGATCCAATGAACTCTTCTGGCCTCCAAGGGCATCACACTTATAAGCACATACACATTTATGAATAATTAAAAATTTTAAATAAATCTTAAAAAAAATAAAGCCAATGGGCTAGAGAAATGGCTCAGGGGGTAAGAGCACTTGCGACTCATGCAGAGGACCTAAGTTTAGTTCCCACAGTATCCACATGGTAGCTAACAACCATCCATAACTTCAGTTCCAGGGGATCTGATACCCTCTTCTGATCTCCATGGGCATTGTACAACACGGGTGCATTTACATACGTGCAGGCAATACATTCATACACATAAAATAAAAATAACAAAATATTTTAAAAAATAAAAATAAAGCTGGGCTTAGTTGCCAGTGGTCCCAGTGCCAAGTGGCAGAGGCACTAGATCAGGCCACCCTGGTCTAAATCTGGAATTCCTCTTCAAAGGTCAGTTCTCCTGACGCCATGGTATACCCTTCCCATGGTAAGGGCTCTGATGATGCTGTTCAGTCCCTTGTATCCCAACTGCAATAATCTGAGCCCCAAACCACAGCAAATAGCTACTGCCTGAAAGACTCAAGCCTGAGCTTCCCTCCTCTAGGCAGTTGGGGATAACTGTCCTATGGGTTCCCCTGCCTGCCATCAGTAGCAGACGCCCAAGTGTGGAGCTTTCACTCTCTACTACTTCCCCTTTCGCTTTCTCAGTGTAGTTAGTATACAGTAGACAGTTACTCCAAAAGCAGTGTAGTTAGTATACAGTAGACAGTTACTCCAAAAGGAAAGCAAAGGCCAACAGAGATTGACCAACCTTGGTTTTGTTTTTTAAATCAGAAGTGGAATCTCTGATTTCCCCCCACCTCTGACTTACCTGTTTGTATTTAATGAAGGACACACCTTTTGCCCATCCAACAACAGAGCCAATAACCTCAGCCTCTGTTGTCTCTCTGACCCTTTTCAACTGATTTTCCCATTATATCTCAGAATAACCCATGAAGGCCTGGCACGGTCAGAGGCCTTTAATCCCAGCAACAGAGAGGCAGAGGCAAGCATATCTCTGAATTCAAGGCCAGCCTGGTCTACATGGCAAGTTCCAGGCCAGCCAGGGCTACATAGTGAGGCCCTGTCTCAAAAAAAAAAAAAAAAAAAAAAAAAAAAAACCCCACAGGGCTGGAGAGATGGCTTAATGGTTAAGAGCACTGACTGCTCTTGCAGAAGACCCGGGTTCGATTCCCAGCACCCACATGGCTGCTAAAAATCGTTTGTGACTCCAGTCCCACGGGATCTGACGCCTTCTGGCCTCCGTGGGCATTGCAGGACACGGGTGCACTTAAGAGACATGTAGGCAACACACTCATACAGATAAAATAAAAAAGTTGTTGTGGTCTTTTTTTTTTTTTTTTTTTTTTTTTTTTTTTTTTTTTGTCTTTTTGAGTCCCAGCTGACCTGAACTCACTATGTAGACCAGGCTGGCTCTGAACTCACAAAGATCCGCCTGCCTTTGCCTCCCAAGTGCTGGGACTAAGGGCGTGCGCCACCACGCCCGGCCAATAAAGTTTTTTAAGAAACAAAAACCAACCAAACGTGAAATATTCATGTGTTATCCTCCACTGGAGACATTAAGAAACTGGGCTTAGGAACACGAAGCCATTTGTCCCAAGTCCTGTCAAGTGACACGGCCAACGTCACTAGCTGCCCAAGGAGGGCAGGCCAGTGGGACCACGCAAAAATGTAACTTAGCACGCCGAATCCAACAGGCATATAAAATTAGAAGGCCGCGTCTCAACAATTAGCCTGCAGGAGCCAAATTGGCAGCCGTCCCGACCACTGCCACACTGCGCCCGCGCGATGCCCACACCTCCGCGGCAGACTCCGAGCGCCGTCTCATTGCGCGTGCGCCACTCGCCCGCGCATGCGCGCCGTGGTGGCAGTCCCCGGGTGGTCCTCAGCCCTTCCATCCTGACCCTGAACGCGGGCCGCCTCGGCTGTAGTTCCCACTCCATGCTTCTCACCTTGCGCCCGGTTTTCTCCCGAAGAGCCCTCAGCCGTTCTTTTCGCCGCAGCGCCTCTTCCTCCAGGCGGCCCACACCGGCCCCAGCCGCCGCCATCTTGCTTACGACACCCGCCCCCCCCTTCCTTTGCACTCTTGTCTCACACAGAGAGTCGAAGACAGTCTCACGGCCAATCCCAGGAGGAGAATGGGAGAACCGGAAGTCCAGAAAGCCAATCAATGCTGAGTTGCTAGAAGAGGGCGCGCTCTTTCGCTTGGGGCCGCTTGCCTTGCGGGAGAACCAACTGGGGAAAAAAAAGTGTTCGATTTGTTCTACGCTTATCAGTGAGAAAGCTGCAAGTGAGATCAGACCTGAGAGGAAGAGAATAGAGTGAGTCGATCGCTTTGGTTTCGTCTACCCGGTACTCACCACTCATCTTTTATTGGCCTCTTGGAATACTCTAATACATCCTTACTCACTTGGGCCTATTTTTCAAGGAGTGAATAACTTCGAGCGTGGTGGCGCACTTTTATAATCCCAGCACTTAGGAGGCTGAGGCAGGAAAATTATGGGTTCGAGGTCAGTTTGAGCTATATAGGGAAACTTTGTCGCAAAACACCACCTCCAACAACAAACACCCCAGAAACCTTCCTTGACTCTGAGGTCGACCTCTTCTTCCTCTATAGACAGCAGGCAGTTGTTCCTCGGGCTCACCTGATCGGTTGGTCCTAGGCCTCTGTATGTCTACTCTGGGCACCAAAACTTGCACAGTGCGGGTCCTGGCTGCGTGTCCTTTTCCTTTGGACGTAAAGATGATCTCTCACCACCACTACCCCACCCCCCCACCCCCCGTTTCCTGGAGCTGCGAAGTACTCAGGTTTAGGCTACCTTTCCTGGAAAACATCAAACACCAACCAGGGCTAACTGGATTCCCAGAAACAGGTCCTTCTCCTACTTTAGAGTTTGACTGCAGCAGGTGGTCACAGATGAGTAGCCTACTAGCAACACTGTTCCTGCCTGGCACCTCTCATAAAGTTAGCCCACAAGTGAATGCTCTTCCATCCCTACCAACTACCTTCAAATACCACGGTCCCCTAAATGTCACTGCCCTCTTGGCTTAACCTGGTCTGTTTGGGCCCTCTTCCTCACAGTAGTATGGCTATCAAGCCCTGGCATGAAGGTCGTAGGTGCTTAGGAAATATCAGTTCGGACTAGGATGAATGGGAAAGGAGAAAAGTCCTGAATGAAAGGGCCATCCACACCAAGAGAACAAAACAGGCCAGGAGTGGAGACAAAGTCTGTCTTTTCTTGGCCACACAAGATTTATGGGACTCCAGACTGATCAATCCCTGGGACCAATGTCTGGATCTAGCAAACTTTTCCCCAGTCCCAACAAAGGGCCTGATTCTTATCCAACACCAGGGGCCCATTCATTTTACAAGCAGTCTGGGCACAGGGAAAGGACAGGGTGGTGGTGACAGTGTCTCAGCAAAGGTCTAGGTCCCTTGTTCCTGCTGCCTCTGTGATCTTCATTGGTCTGAACCTCAGTGTCTCCATCTATTAAAACAGGCATGGGGCACTCATCTCCCCCATGAGGTTAAAGAAACAAAAGATGCCAAGCAAGTGCCAGACCTGGAGAACATGGGGTGTGAGCAATTGTCTCCACTGGAGCATCCCTAAAAAAGTGTAGACAGAAGATATCCTAAGTTCATAGGGATCTGTCCAATGGAAGGGTACTGCTCCCTTGGAGGTATTAGAGGCTTATCCTACTGTAGGCTGGATGATTCTCCCCATTCCTCTCAACACTTAGCAAGAACTCAAAAGTGGTGGCTAGAAAGATGGCTCAGGGGTTATGAATACTTGCTGCTTTTCTAGAGGACACAAGTTCCTGTTCCCAGCACCCATGTCAGGCAAAGGTCCTGTAACTCCAGCTCCTGGGAATTTGATTACAGCTCCAGGGAGATCTGAGGCCTTCTCTTTAGGCACCTGTCCATACTCACGTGCACATACACACAATTTAAAATAAAATCTATATTTTTTTAAATCCAGAAGTGGCATTTGTCTTCCATAAAGCACTTAGATCAGTGCCTGGCGCATAGCGCTACAAGAGGTCTTCATGGTGGTTGTTATGTTAATCTTTGTTGAAAGACCCTATCCATTCTCGCGAGGATCGTAGACCCTTCCTGGAATAGCGACAATTCCAAACCTGGGGGTTGCGTACCCACGTTGGGTCCAGATCCTATACAACTCTGGAAGCCTGGCCCCACCCCTAGCTCAGGACCGCTAGGGACTGCTCCAGTGGCTCTGGGGCCCACACTGCCAGCGGGAGGGAGGCGGGGGGGCGGGGCTTACCAGGGCGACCTCCCGGCTGCTCTGACCTCAGGCTCCTCCTCCCGCCTGGCTCGCCGCCCTTTGCAAGGTCCCGGGAGAGGCGGGGCGGTGGCGGCGGCCGCGGCGACCGTGGAGTGAGGGAAGCCGGCGTCCGCCGGCTGGGAGGTGGAGGAGGAGGGGCGTGTAGACTTCGGGTGGCTGATCTCGACGGAGTCCGGACCTGCGGACTTCCCTAGGCCGAACCGCGCCGCTCCGCCCCGGAGTGACGCCCACTGCCCATGGGCCTGGCCGAGGGCAACCGGCGGGCGGCGCGGAGGAGGCGGCGACAGGTGGCGCACTGCAGGGTCGGAGCCGGGTCGGGCCATGGCCGCCTCGGAGCGGCTCTACGAGTTGTGGCTGCTTTACTACGCGCAGGTGAGCCCGTCCCGCCCGGCGTTCGCGGCGCCCCCAGATCCGCGCGCGCTGTGCTGGCTGCACCTGCACCTGAGCCCTCCCGGGCTACAGATAGGTGCGCGCACGCGGGTCTCCCGCTCCGCACACATGTGCCTGCCCTCGCCGGCTGGCTGCCTCAGACACTAGCGTCTGGGGTACAGTGCTCACGGGTGCGCAAATCCCCCCAGCAGCACCCTGCAGCCTCAGTCCCAGCAGTAGCTTACCGACGGCCCCCCGCCCTTTTACAACTGAGATCTGGAGAGACCGGCAGTCTGACCAGGTCCAAAGGGAGAAGGGCTCAATTTGTATATGGGCTGCTTCTCCTGGAGACCCATCCGCCCTAGGGTGTCGCGGCTGGCATGTCCCTGTAGGTTGGGGACACGGCAGGGGCCTCTCCTTACTGCAGGTCTGACTTTAGTCACCTCAGACTCCCCTAGAGAGGTAGCAGTGATAAGCTCCTGCCATACTTGAAGCAGCCTCAGTCTGCCTGCTTTCTAGAGTGGGGCAGGGTGGAGGGTGAGGCCAGGAAGGATGTCTGAAAAGGACCCGTTTCAAGCTACCTCAGGTGGCATTAGAGGGAGGTAAGGGAAGGTGACTTCTGTGATTCCAACCTGGCATCCCATAAACTCTGTCACATACACAAAGCCCCACTTTCCTACTAGAAACAGAGATTGATCCTGGGGTCACACCTCCTTCCCTGCACCTGCTTGGCACTAAGCTCCTAGCTCAGGTGTGCCCTGGGCACAATGAACAATTGTGTGCCCCTCTCCAGCTTGTCATTCCGCGGGGAGTTCATGCTCAAACCAACTGGCCCTCTGAAGAAGCTGGCTGGTGGTCTGCCTCTTAGGGTCTTAGGGTCCAAGCCATAAGAGCCACAGCTTCTTTAAGTCTTCTCAGGCTGGAGATGTGTGGTAGAGTCTCACCTGGTGTAGTCCAGTCCCAGCTCATTGCACTTTTAAGCCTCTATGTCTATAAAATCAACACAGTTCTACCCTCAGGTCACCTGGACTTTGTAGAGGGACAGGTACTATAGCTGGTCCAAGCCAGAAAATGTTCCTGCTTCCCTGGCTCCATGGAGTACCCTTAATCTAGCATCTATGTCTCCATCTTCAAGGAAGATGACCAGGTAAAGAGTGCTTATACCAAGTGATGAAACCAAGAGATGTCATTAGGGTCCTCAAGCTAGATGGCAGGCTGCTGGAGATGTCTTGGTACAGCCTCCCAGGTCTGTACTCCTGCATGGTTGCCAAACTGAACTCTGTGGATCCCACCCATGAGGTGGTTAGCACCCCTCTCTGTGCTGGGCTCCCACCTCTTCCCAGCTCACCTCTTGGGGTAGGACAGGTATGGGGCACAGGTTGGCTGGTTGTAGCCTTGGAAGCTTAGACAAGCAGGGGGCAGCCTGGGGCCAAGCCAACAAATCCAGGATGTGAAAGCAAACCCAGGAGTCCGGGTGGAGCCATACTGCCTGGGGAGAGGAAGCCAGGCCAGCCTCCCCTGTACAGCCTTCCTGCCTGCTCCCGGAACACTGTCCCACCCCTTGGTGCTGGGTTCCCAGGGAAGGACAGTGCTGTGGCCATGCAACTTAGAATCTTGCTAGGGACCCATTGTTCAGTGTAAGGGAAGGATGGAGCTGACAGATGATGTTAAGAGAATCTCAGAGCCTGACTTGGTGGCATTTATGGCTGTAATCCTAGCATAAGAAGGGCTGAAGCAGGAGGATTGCCACAAACTTGAGGTTAGTCTGGGTAACAGGGTGAGACCCTTGTCTCAAAAAGAAAGGAGACCCTCTGTCAGTCAGTAGTCACCCTGCCAGCAACACGTCGGCCCCTCCCTTCAGCAGTGAGAGCTACCATCTGTAGACAAACCTGTTTCCCCAGTTGTGAGTCTGGGAGAGGACAGAGGGGGAAGTACCCCATTGTTTGCCCTTCCTTTCCGGTAAAGACCCCAGATTTAGACCTCCTCCCTCTCACCTATATGGGCCCTGCTCTATGGGGTGGGGAGGGGGCTCTGAGAGGAGACCGGGGACAGTGTCACAGTGCCCCGAATATCACTCATTTGGAGCACCTCAGGATCCCTGTGGGAAACTCAAGGCAAAGTCCTACCAAGGTCATCAGAAGAGTTCCTTTAGCCACAAAAGGTTTAGTCTTGTGGACAGGGAGTGTCAGGCATGTCTTTACCTGAGACAACACTATTTCTTCTGTTTGGAGACTTTTGATTGGAGCCTATTTTAACATTCTTTGTGCTTACTACTCCATAGCTTTCCAGAGCTTCCTATTTAGTAAGTGTTCTTTGGGTGTTAACTGAATGACTAGATGAGAAGATGGGTCCCAGGGTAGTGACCACTCAAGGAAGTTATCCCAGAGGAGGTGGAGTTGGAGTTTTGAGGGCTGAAAGGCTGGGAATGAGCACACCGCAGTGAGAAATAGAGGAATCAAGTTGTCAGCAATAGGCAGCAAAGGTAGCCTGGGGAATGGGTGGGAGCACACCTACCCATGTATTCTCAAGGAAGATAGAGAAGCATGAGAGGACTGAGAGACTTGGGACAGCACCTGACAGGCTGGCAGTTGCTAGCATGTAAAAGTTGATGCAAAATAGCATGTAAATGAGCAGCCCCTTTGTAGGCTGGAGCAGTGGTGTTGCTCAATAGCTCCCCACCCACTGATGGGGGAACACTGAGTGAGAGCTGAGGGATACTCAGGGTCACAGAATTCATGGCAGGATGGGGAGCTCTCCAGTTATGCTATGACTAGGAGTCTAGGACTCAGGGTCTAGAGCACATGTTCCCTTGTACTGCCCACCTCTCCCTCCTGATTCATGATCTCTCCAGCCTCACTCTCCTGCCTCATGGAAATCCAGCCAGACCCTCTTCCCTCTGCTCCTCTAGATCCTTAGCTGGCTCCAATTTCTTTCGAGGACAACTTAGTGCAGGAGTCATTTCTCTCCTTCTGCCATGTGGGTCCAGGAATTGAACTGAGATTTTCAGGCGTGGTAATAGACACCTTTACCTGTTGAATCACCTCACCAGCCCTCTATTATTTTTCTTAGATTTATTTTATGTGTGTGTGTCTGTGTCTGTGCAATTGTATGCCCTATGTGTGAGTGCCCTCAGAGGACAGAAGAGGGCATCAGATCCCCTGGAGCTGGAGTTACAGGCATCTGTATGCTGCTAGACACAGGTGTTGGTAACTGAGCTTGCGTCCTCTGAAAGAGTAGCCAGTGCTCTTAATTGCTGAGCTATTTCTCCAACCACCCCACAACACACCACACCACCCACCCTACCCCCATTCACTTTATTTTTTGAGACAGGATCTCTCACTAAACCTGAAGCTCATCAATTTAGCTAGGCTGGCCAGTAAGCCTGAGGGATCCCATTGTCTTCACATGCCACCATCCCACCTAGTGCTTGGGTTATAGATGCATGAATCTAAACTTAGGCTTGTGCATTTTATCATTTTAACTGAATGAGTAGATGAGAAGTTAGGCCCCACAGTAGTGACCAATCAAGGATATTATCCCAGAGGAGGTGGAGTTAGGGTTTTGAGGACTTTAGCCAACTATCTCCCTCATTTACCTTCTTGAATGGGCAAAGGGAAGGTAGAATCACCCAGTTCTTGGTTCCTTTCACATCTGAGAGGCAACTGGGGTTTCTTTATCCCTGCTTCTGTTGCCAAAGCAATTGAAGGAGGAGGAACTGAAGTGATGGGGAGATTAGCATGGAGCCTGATAGGGAGCTGATAGGGAAGTATGGGATCCCCATGGAAACAGAGTCTGTTACTATGGAAACCATGGCAGGAAATTTTGTTTCCATAGTGATAGACCAAGGTAGATGGTTAAGTACTGAAGGGTGTTATGGGGACAGTGGTAAGGGTAGCTTTCCCCTTTCTCTAGTCCTCACCCCTTTTCTCTGGGAGGCCTCAGGCTGGCTCTCACCTGGGTCCTATGGCTTAAGGCTGTAGTGCTGGATGTAGAGCCAGGATCAGAAGGCAGGGCAGCACAGAGCGTAGGAGCAAGGTGGTCATGATGCTTGTGACAGGACCTAGAGCTTAGAAGTGATGATTTGAGCTCTGCATTCCCAGCTCAGAGCCTCTGCCTAGTTGGCTCCTCCAGATTTTTCCATCTCTGAGAGGGAACCTGGGGGCAATGAAGAATAACCACACAGGACAAGCCCATCCCAAGATCCTTGGGCCTATGAGGAAGTAGTGACCAGGTCCTGCCGTGGGGAAGATAGAGGGTAGGTCATTGTTCCCAGGAAGACGGGTGGTCATCTTCACAGTAACCTGTGCCCAGCCAGCCCTGAACATACACAAAGAGTGTTGTTGGGATGAGGGGCTCCTGAGGGCTGGTGAGGCACAAATCATCGCTGGGTAGGCATGGAACTGCCACTCTCCTGGAACTCTGAGGTAACACAGGAGGGCTGAGGGTGGGTAGTTGCTGCATTGGTAGGGGGAAGGGCTGTCTACCGAAGGAATAGTTGCTACTAAGCTGCCTGATACCATGTTGCCTTTGAATTCAGTGTGACCTAGCCCAAGCCCAGGACACACAAGGCCTCTAGTGGACATCAGTCACCATCACTACTGGATCAGCCAGTCATTACTCTCACACAGGCTCCATCTTCAGAGAAAATCAACATCTTCCCTGGTATCTGAGGCCCTGCATAGGTGGTACCCTTCATCCCTGTCCTCAGCTCCCTGAACCTACTAGATATCCCAGTCCAAGGACATGGCTTGCTGTTCCCATCCCCACAGGGCTGAACATGCTTTACTTTCCAAGTTTCTTATTCAGAAATGTGCTCCCATCAGGACCAGCAACTTTTCAAGACCCATTCCATTTGGTGCTACACAAGTTGGGGTTACTAACAAAATCAGTGGCTAAGGGGATGCATTCTGGAGCCTAGGCCCTGTTTGAACACTGGGTAGCTTGTTACTTAATATAAACATCTCTGAATCTTAACTGTCTCTTTAAAACAGTCCCTGCTCTCAGTGGCAGCCATACCCACCCAGCACAACAAAGGGTAGGGTGACCAGGAGCTCCAAACCAAGTCTCTGGTCAGCCCAAATTCCTGGCATTCTAAAACAACCCTCCCATCCCTTCAATGAGAGAAAGCAAGAGGTAGTCCTTGGCTCAGTGCAGAGATGAGGTCTCCTAAGCCCTCTCTAGTATGTTGTCCTAGGCAGGGGAGGTAGAGTATGTTCCCCAGGAAGGAGCTGCTAATAGCAGGGAGAGTTGCTTTTGAGACTCTTATATGACCTCCCAGAGCCCATGAAGCCTGCCTTGATTGGCCTAGCCCTGAACCCGACTCAGCTCTAAACTGGGGCATTTACAGGACTAGACAGGCCAAGGGTGTGGTTCAAGGGACCACAAGCTGGAATGTACAGAGTCTGAAGGACCCACCCAGGTCTGGGAGAGTCTTCCCAGGTGATGACTATGAAGAGAGTAGGAGGTTCCTGCTTACATATCCAAAGCCCAAGTGCACTGAGGCAGTGGGGTGGGGTATACAGAGGCCTGGACAGGAAGGTGAGCAAAAGATAGAGAGCAGGCTTGGGCTGCACCAGATGGCCAAGCTCAGCAGTTGGACCTTTATCCTAGTGGTGGGAAATGATCAGATTGGGGCTTTAGGATGCTCTGGAGAGCTGTAAGTGACAGAAGGCCTATATTTTGGGTGAGAGAGGACTGGCTTGACTGGGGGTGGTTAGGAGTAAAAGAAGGAAGATAGTATTGGGACAGTTGTGTGTGTGTGTGTGTGTGTGTGTGTGTGTGTGTGTGAGATGCACGTGTGCATGGAGGCCAGAGTTTGACATTAGGTAACTTCCTTAATCACTCTCCACCTTATTTTCTGAGATGGGTTCCCTCAGTGCACCTAGAGCTTACCAATTCAGCTAGGCTGGCTGGCCGGTGAGCTCTAGGAATCCACCTGGCTTGGCCTCCCCAGCACTGAGATTAGCGATGCACACAGCTATGCCCAACTTTTTACATGGATGCTTGGGGATCTGAACTCAGGTCCTCATGCATGCATGGCAAGCACCCTGACTAATCCCAGTGTTGGGACATTTTGAAGGGATCTGTGAGACCACTGAGGCAGGGGTCAGGGTCAAATGGTCACCTTGGGCTAGCCAGCTAGCAAAGTATCCCTGGCCTAGAACAAAGGCCTGGCTTCTGGTACTGAAAGATGTAGCTGGAGCCAAGGTGCTGGATTTCCTCTGAGGCTTCCCACTTCCCCACCTGTAATGGGAAGCTTCAGAAGAAATGGTTTAGAAACCTGGTTTCTTCACTTTTCATTGCTATGATAAATCCTTGAGAGAACCACCTTCAAGGAGGAAAGGGTTATTTTGCATGGTTTCAGAGGTTTTAGTCTATGGCTGTCTGGCTTCATTGCTTCTAAGTCTGTGGCAAGACAGAAACATCACAGCAGAAGATCATGGTTGAAGGAAAGCTGCTCATGTTATGACAACCAGGAAGAAGAGAGGAAGGAAGGGAGGGAGAGGGGAGGGAGAGAGGGAGAAAGAAAATGAGGTGGGGGAAAAGGGAGAAAAGGAGGAGGGGAAGGGGGAAGAAGAGGAGAAGACACAATGAATAAGCACAGGCCAGCTATGAGTGCATAGGGACAAGATCTAGCCCCCAAGGGTATGTCTCCAGGCACTCACTCCCTCTGAAGTTTTTCCTTCCTCGCAGTAGCCCATCAGATTATGAACCTATCAATGAATTAGTCCATTGATGAGGTTAGAGCCCTCCTGACCTAATCACTTCCTCAAAGCCCTACTTCTGAACACTGGTTCATCAGAAACCAATTCTTCAATACATGAGCCTGGCCTTCCCTGGGTTTTAGAAACTGGGCATTTTGGTTTCCTTGCTGGCTGGTAGGAAAGGAGGTTGGTAGCAGCAGAGGTGGAGAGGTCAACAAAGGTAATGGACAAAAAGTCACAGTTATGTCACTCTACTTCTTGGCAGTCATGGTCCCTTTCTTGGTTGCCTGGGCTTTCTTTGTACAAGGAGCCAAGTTTGGGGATGTACACCAATAATCCCAACTCTCAGGAGGTAGAGGCAGGAGGATAAGGAATTCAAGACTAGCCTTGGCTATATAAAGAGTTCAAGACCATCCAGAGCTATGTGAGACCCTGTCTCAAAATAGAGCTGGGGGAATGACTTGGTGTTTGCTACACAAGCATGAGGGTCTAAGTTTTAATCCTCAGAACCATGTAAAGGCTGGGTGTGGCAGCACATGTCTGTAACCCCAGCATTGGGGAGGAGGTGAGGAGCAAGTAGATAGATCCTGAGTGCTCTTTGGCCAGTCAGTGTAACCAAAATGGTAAACTCAGGTTGAGTGAGAGATCTTATCTAAAAAAAAAATAAGGTAGAAAGTAAACACTAAAAATAAAAAATAAAGTAGAGAAAGTCATCTAATGTCTCTCACTGACTCCACATGCATACTCATGGGCAGGTGAGCAAACCCTATACACATGCACACATATGCATACACACACACGCACACACACAAAGAAAGAAAAATAAGAAAATGCATAAGGAAATAAGGGAGGCATCCAGATACAGAGTGAATAGCTGCTCCCACCAAGTTTTTTTTTTTGGGGGGGGGGGCTGATATTTGGGGGCCACAGGGAGGAAAAACAAGCCAGCCACCCTCCAAAGTTCTGTAGATCCTTAGGTATAAGGGCCATAGCCCCTGGGAGTAGCCTCAGGCCCTCTGAGCATCAACTGAGGTATGCCATATCTCTGTCCTTCTATACAGGTACAGTCCTAGTCTCATCTCTGACTTGACATTGCTTTTTAGGCTCAGCTTATTGGGAGATCCAGATGGGAGTGGCTACAGGTTGGGGCAGATGAGGACTGGGCTAGGATTTAACTCAGCAATGCCCATGAGCAAAGACCTGTGGAATACAGGTGGGGGTGGCCAGGTCATGAGAAATGACAAAAATATGGGAGAGTCTTGCTTATTTATTATTTCTAGGCATGAGGTCTTGAGCCAGGCAGAAAAATGTGGGTGACAGACACCCTAAAGCAAGGATAGCACCCAGGGCAGGGTGCCCCACCCCTTGTGCTGCAGGTCCCACCCTCAGTGCTTTGCCAGGTCCCTTGCAGCCTCTCTTGTGGGGCCCAGGGTGCCCTGCTCCCCGCCACACACACACACACACACACACACATCCCTGCGGTCTGCCCGGAGGAAGCAGCTGCCCTCCCCCACCGTGACTCTGCGCTTCCTGCCCCAGCCGGGGCGGGAGGAGACATTTCCCGTTCACACCAAAGTTTCCCTGGTGGTGCGCGCACGCGCGCACACACACACACACACACACACACACACACACACACACACACACACACAATTTTACTCTGGAAGCAAATTATTCAATATAAGTTGATATTTCTTCTTTCAGAGTCCCCAAAATGTCCTTAATAGGTGTCCCTTTTCTTTACGCTCAGCTGCTACCCCTCTTGCCCATGGAACCAGCTTTGGGACCTGGGGTCCAGGTAAACAACAAGGGTGGTTCCAGGGGAATAGTAGAACATTCTGCAATGATTTGGGGCTCTAATTGTTGGGGTGTGAGTATGCGTGGGGTATCTGACTAACAATGCACATGTACTGTGAGACCCACAGTTCAGGAGGGTTTCCAAGAGGTGCTGGCTGCAGAACTAGGGGAAGGCAGAAGATAGGATTCAGCCCAAGACTTTGGGGTAGGGCTGGGGCAGCTGTGGAGTGGGAGATCTGCAGCTGCAGCATTACTGTGGACCACACCACACCTCACTTAAGCTCCTCCCTGCCTGTGTCAGGTCTGTATGGGTTGCCACCCATTAGAAAGGTGGGAACAAAGACTGAAGGTGGGGCTGAGAGAAGCAGATGAGGTCCCAGAAGAGAGGACTGCCTGGACCGCAGTCCTCAGAATCTGACCTCCTGAGTTCCTGTGGTCCAGAACCCATCCCTCTCTCCCCTTCTCTAGGCCCATCACTCTGCCTGGAATCCCTGTTTATCCTCTCGTCCTCTCCACCTGTCCTTCCTCTCGTTATTGAGCTCTTCCACTGTCTCATTCTCTTGAACTGTCGCCTACAGAAGGACCTGGGCTACCTGCAGCAGTGGCTGAAGGCCTTTGTGGGTGCCTTCGAGAAGGGCATTTCACTGTCCTCCCTGGAGCCAAGAAGGTAAGGATGTATCTGCTTATAGGCCAGGCCCAGATAGGGAGGTAGGGCTGTCCTTGGCACCCTAACAACTCTATTTACAGGCCAGAGGAGGCAGGTGCAGAGGTCCCTCTGCTACCCCTGGATGCTCTACATGTGCTGGCTGAGCAACTGGACCAGGGGGACCTAGAGCAAGCCCTGCTGCTGCTGAAGCTCTTCATCATCCTCTGCAGGTGCCTCCTCTCTAGTGGACAGAGGCATGGACATGTGGGAGTAGGGGTAGGGTGGCCAGGGTATTAGCATGACCTCTCTCATTCTTTACCTCTTGTCCCTAACCAGGAACCTGGAGAATGTAGAGGCAGGTTGGGGCCAGGTACTGGTGCCCCGTGTGCTGGCGCTTCTCACAGGATTGGTGACTGAGGTGAGGGACTCTCTTAGATAGGGTAGAGAGAGGCAGTAGCTACACATATAGCTGACTAACCCTCCCTTTCTCTTCTTTCCCCACTCTGCAGCTGAAAGGACCCCCATCATCACAGGAAGACCATGCCACTCAGCTGGAGAATGTGGCCCTACATGCCCTGCTCCTCTGTGAGGGACTCTTTGACCCCTATCAGACCTGGCGGCGCCAGCATAGTGGGTAAGAACCAGGCCTCAGATAGGTGAACCACAGGAGGAAAGGAGCTTTGGTCTAAAGACTTATGAGACTAGCTTGTGTTCAGGCTGGTGGAGAATGACCAGTGACCTGACTGGGGAGGTGAGAGTTCAGCTGATGGATTCCAGTGCCTGGACTCACCCCACTCTTCCCATCCCTACCCCCAGGGAAGTCGTCAGCTCTAAGGAGAAGAGCAAATACAAGTTTCCTCCTGCTGCTTTGCCCAGTGAATTTGGAGCCTTCTTCCAAGGTCAGGCTCTAAACCCTGCTTCACTAGGCCCCAGATGGCCCCACCCCTAAACCTAGGTCCCTTCCTGAGGTTCTCTTAGCCCATCTACTGGACAGGAACTCCTTGGTGTTAGCTCATAGGCCTGGGAGAGACACAGGGGCCTCCCACAGCTAAGTAGGAGTTTAGGGGTAGAGAGAAGAGAAGGGGCATGTCTGGGCAGTCATTTTTTCTTAGTCTGGAGTAAGGACTTCTTATCAAGTGGAGTGTTGACCTGTCCTCTGGATTTCCTGTCTTTCTGCTCTCCTGGCTCATCCCAGCTTGTATTCCTACTCCCTGCCCAATCTGTCTCTTAGCCTCTACCCATGCGCTGGCTACACTAGCTGTCACACCTACTGTCTCACTCCTTGAAGAGTGCCCAGAACTCCCTCTGGCCTCTTGTTCTCTCTGGTCTTACTCTCACTTGATTTCACCTCCTGTCCTAGGCCTCCTCTCTCCTCTCATCAAGGGAGGACTGTGGTCAGCACTTGATATGGACAGAGCAGAAAGTAGCCTGGATAGAGGCAAAGGCAGGCAGAACTGTAAGAAGGCAGATCCTTTGAGGGTATTTATCATGCTAGTAAGTATGTGATGCTATTGGAGCTGCAGGCTTGAGTCTGAAATGGAGTGTAGCAACCCTAGAAGGAGAGAGCCCTGGGGAGCTCCCTGCCTCCATGTCCCACAGCCAGGGCATTTTGAGACAGAACCTGCTTTTTTGGTTTTTTAATATTTTATTTATTATTTTTATCTTACGTATATAAGTCTGTTGCCTGCATGTATATAAGTGCACCCGTGTCGTGCAGTGCCTGTGGAAGTCAGAAGCGGGCATCAGATTCCCTAGAACTGGAGTTATTGATGGTTGTTAGCCACCATGTGGGTGCTGGGAATGGAACCCAAGTCCTCTACAAGAACAGCCAGTGCTCTGAATCCCTGCACCATCTTTCCAGCCCCAGAACCTGTTTTTTGAGAGAGGGTCTCACTATATAGCCCTGGCTGTCCTGGAACTCCCTATATAGACCAGGCTTGCCTTGAATTCACAGAGATCCGCTTGCCTCTGCCTCTGCCTCCCAAGTGCTAGGATTAAAGATATGTGCTACCATGCCTGGCCACCAGCCTGGACTGGAACTCACTATATAAAACCAGGTTGGTCTCGAACTCAGAGATCTGCCTGCTTCTGCCTCCTGAGTGCCGAGACTAAAGGCATGTGCCACCATGCCCGGTAGCCTGGGCATTTTTAAGACCACATAACCAGATAGCTACTCCTTCTCAGACTCACACTGTATCCTCTCCTCTCATAGGCCAACTTTCTTCTTAGGCCTTGCCTGAGAAGCCCCGTTGTAGGGAGGCCCCCACCCTATCCCACCTGTTCCCCCACATGTAACCCAGGCCTGGCCTCTTCTGCTCTCTGAGTTTCAGTCTGTCATCCTGTCCAGCTTGGCTGGAGCAAGGCCACATATGAGGTTGTGAAAGCCCCTAGAAGTTCCCAATAGGGAGACAGATGGGGGAGGGGAGGATATCAACGTACTAGATACAGCGTGGTCCCTAGAGCAGAACACCAGATGCCCCACTGTCAGAGGGGCAGAGGGAACAGATTTGCATCTGAGAATCTAAACCCTGCATCTCCATGGGGAAGCATAGTGGCTGTGTGTCGCTCTGGGGTTCCCACTTCTGGGCATAAAGATACAGGGGGCTGTCTAGGCTCTCAGGGCTGGACTATATGTCTCCCAGTCCCTCTATAGCACCTCAAACTTCCTTGCATGCAGCCATGATATCTTAAAACCAGGGTAGGGTGAAGGATTTGTTCTCTGGTTGGAACTCTCATGAGGCCCAGCTTCTAACTCCCTGCTCTGTGCTGAGACAACCCACTTCTTGTGAAGTCCCCTGGCCCATAGTCTTGTAACCTTAGTGACATTGTACTGCCCTGTCTACTACCCAGAAAGCCTACAGGATGCAGACCATTTGCCTGCCATGCTGCTGTTGCGGCTCATCCACCTCTTCGGTGCTGTCCTCACAGGAGGAAAGGTAGGTTGGGAGGTGAGCCTATGGGCCGGGGGTGGCCCTCTCAGCACCTTATTGCTGGGTGAGCCCACTGCCCATCTCTGTCCTCACCTGCAGGAGAATGGGCAGATGGCTGTGAGTGCCGGCTCTGTCCAGGGCCTGTTGGGTGTGGTGCGGGGCTGGGGCCATGGCCCAGCTAAAGACCCTCACCTGGTGCCTCTGGCCCTGGAGGCACTGGTGGGGGCAGTGCATGTCCTGCATGCTAGCCGTGCACCTCCCCGTGGGCCAGAACTCCGCACCCTGCTCGAGGGCTACTTCCGCATCCTCAATGCTGACTGGCCAGCTAGTTCAAGCTCAGGCCCTGAAGAGGCCCTTGTCACCCTACGGGTCAGCATGCTCGGTGGGTATGGGCTCTCAGGCACTTGATGGGAGGGGAATGCTCATGTGATAGTAGAAAGGCAGGGCTGGGCAGCAGGGGGGAAAATGAAGACTTCCTTGACCCCTCACAGATGCTATCCCCATGATGCTGGCATGTGAGGACCGGCCAGTGCTGCAAGCCACTTTCCTTAGCAACAATTGCTTTGAACACCTTATTCGCCTCATCCAGAACAGCAAGGTGGGTAGGGTCTTGACTGAGGGTAGGGGGCCTCGCACCCAGGGGAACCACATAGATATCCCAGCTTGCTGCTGAACAAACATGTCTGTGGCCTGTGTTCAGTGGGAGGGCCTGGGATATGGACAAAGTTTGGGGTCTTGGCCCCACTCTTCCCAGTGCCTAGTAGGGGCACTTTGACGAGGGCTCAGGATGCCACTTCCCTCTGAGGCAGAGCCCTAGCAGCTGCCCGTGGTCTTACTCTAACCCCTCCTCCTCCATCTTCCTCCTCTACTTTGCCCCTCCCCACAGCTGTACCTGCAGGCCCGGGCGCCCCCTGAGGGGGACAGTGACCTGGCTACCCGGTTACTGACCGAGCCCGATGTCCAGAAGGTACCACTTTGGGGCTGACCAGCCAAGGCACCACCTCTCTGGGAACCTGCCTGTGGCTCCTTCTGTGAACCTTTAATGTATTCCAGCATGGGGGATGAGTAGATGTGTGAGGCCTATCATGGCCTAGCAGTAGGGGGGTGGGTTCCCCATGCCCTCTTACCCCACCCCAAGATCAAGTCCCCATCTTAGAGACTGGGGTAGGAAGTGGTCTTTTGCCTACCTGGTATTAAAATTGGATGCTGGGATGTCGCTGTACCAAGCTGGAAGGAACCTTCGAAACTCTTCACTACCTACCCGCATTTCTCAGGAGGAGGAATGAAAGTTCAGACACAAAGGGATTTTGTTATAGTCATCCTCTGAGGCAGGAGTCCTCCATGGAGGTCACTTCTTTCTATGGATTCTGATATCTACCCTAACCAGATTACTTGGAGTTTTTCTACCCTCTCCTGATATGCTACATGCTTCACTGTGCATGGGAGCTCTAGGGAGCTGCACAGAATCAGTTGGGGTCTCTGCATCTCAACTTCCAGAGCCTCTGCCCTGGCTCTGTCTTCATGAGGTAGCCCCCATGTGTCCATTGTCTGTAGTCACTTTCTGACATTCCGCCTGTCTATTCAGCTTCAAAGCAAGCAAGGCTAAGTGACACTATGCTCCCACTTGATTTTAGATAAGGAAACAGGCCTAGAGAGGGGAAGAAGGTTGCCTGCACTCACACTTAGAGAATTTGGGCAGAGCTGGGAGCAAAGGGCTTACAGGGCCAAAACATAACATGGCTTAGCATCTGTTGCCAGACTGCTTTTAACTCCTCATCCCCCAGCATAGGGCAGGGGGAGTGAGCAACATACCCCTGACTCTCAGATTCAGCTAAACTGAACCACAGTGTCCACTGATCTAGGGGATGATCCAGGGTAGGACTTAAAGGTCTCGAAGGTTCTTCTAGCTCTAATGCCCTGTGGTTGATTGTGTCTGTATTCCCTGAATCTCTGTTAATCATCATGGGTGGTGGGGCACTTGATGACCTGCTTGCACATGTCTATCTTGGATGGGGATGTGGGGGCTAGCACCCATAAGCCCACCAGAGAATGGGAGGGAGTTCAGAGGCAGTTTGCACTGTTGATGTAGCAGAGAGGACCTTCCCAGCCTGGGTTTCTTCCCAGGCCTTTTTGCCAGAGCTGGTCTTGCCCCTCTGCTCTGAGAGCTCCCTGCTTTGAGGTGACACAGCAGGTGAGGCAAGTAGAGGGCCTGGCACCCACAGAGAGTTGCTGATGCAGCAAATGCCGTGGACCATGGAGTACCTGGCCCTGCACCCCTTTTGTTGGCAGTTTCTGCCAGCTGTGGCACCCTGGAAACTGCTTCTTCTGACTTCTCCTCTCAACCCCAAGGTACTGGACCAGGACACAGATGCCATTGCAGTCCATGTGGTTAGAGTGTTGACCTGCATCATGAGCGGCTCCCCCTCAGCCAAGGTAAGGAGTGACTCAGACTTACCATGCAGAAGTGGAGTTCACAGTTTCCGTTCCCCAGAATGGAGCCCATGGAGGCCCTGCCCTCTGGGGTGCAGCTCCATGTGCTGGGTGGATGTGTTCATCAGTGTGTCCTAGGTCAGGGCCAAGGACAGTCGTGAGCTGACCACCACCTATAGCCTTCTGAGATGAACACAGCCTACCTCTATTGTCCGTGTGTGTGCTAATACTGTGACCCACAGCAGAGACAGACAAGGGAGCACCAAAAGGGAAGAGGTCCCCCATGGGCATGTGTTGGCCCCATGACCCAAGGATATGCTTATGTCCATGCTGCTCCATAGGAGGTGTTCAAGGAGCGCATTGGCTATCAGCATCTGCAGGAGGTCCTGCAGAGCCACGGACCTCCCACCCACCGGCTGTTGCAGGAGCTGCTAAACATGGTGAGGACTGGGCTTAGGACCTAGGTTCCAAAGGCAGCTGGCCTGAGGCAGATCTGCACCCTGGAGGACTATGTTGATTGTGGCCAGTATAATGTGACCTATGGCTCAGCCATATATGTCAGTGAAGCCTCTGCACTATGGGATTCTAGGAGCTTCAGCCTGTCAGCCAGCCTGTAGGCCATCCCAGGAACATGCAGTTTTGGGAGCTTCACCAGCCCAGGTTACAAGCTAAGGCCCAGACTGCTAGTGCTAAGGGGTTGTTGTAGTGGGTATTGTCATCTGTGCACCTCTGACACTATAGCAGGATGGAGTGGCATGCGTTCGTTTCTCATACTGTAGGCAACAGGAAGTCTCACAACTGGCAGGGGCCATAGTTGACCTGGGACTGTCACATTCTCTCCACCCACAGGCTGTGGAAGGTGACCACAGCATACGCCCACCTCCACCGATCTGCAATGAACAGCCGGTGCTTGTGCTGATGCAGTGGTTGCCAGCATTGCCCACAGCTGAGCTTCGGCTCTTCCTAGCACAGCGCCTCTGGTGGCTCTGTGACAGCTGCCCTGCCAGCCGTGCCACCTGTGTGCAGGCCGGCCTGGTGAGCTACCTGCTAGAAACGCTTGACACAGGGATAGCCCTGGGATCCCGCTGCCAGGAACGGCTATTAGCACTGTTGCAAGCTCTAGGCCGTGTGTCGCTAAGGCCCTTGGAGCTGCGTCGCCTGCTGCACCCCCCACCAGGGCTGGACTCAGAGTCAGGTGGAACTGAGGCTCAGAAGGCTCAGCACGCAGGCGCCATCATCCGAGCACTGTCAGGCATGGCCCGGCACCGTGGTCCTGCACGTGCCCTGCGTTACTTTGACCTCACACCCAGCATGGCAGGCATCATGGTGCCACCTGTGCAGCGATGGCCAGGACCTGGCTTCACCTTCCATGCCTGGCTCTGTCTGCATCCTACAGAGGCAGCATCTACCTCAGCTCTCAGCCGGCCTCTCCAAAGAAAACAACTGTACAGGTGGGTGACTGCCAGGGGCTAGGGACCCACTGCCAGGGTGAGCAGGAGGAAGCAGGCATAACTGGCTTGCCTGCCCCCAGCTTCTTCACCAGCAATGGCTCAGGGTTTGAGGCCTTCTTCACGGCAGCTGGGACCCTGGTGGTAGCTGTGTGCACACGGAAGGAGTACATGACCATGAGCCTGCCAGAAGTGTCCTTTGCTGACTCAGCCTGGGTGAGTACCCACCCATCTCACATGGCCCAGTGGGGAGTGGGGCACCAAGTCTCAAATATGGCCTGATGTCACAGCTTCTATCCTAGCACTGTGTGGCCATTGTACATGTACCTGGGCGCCGGCCCTTCAGCCAGAACCTGGTCCATGTCTTCAAAGATGGCCATCTGGTCATGACAGCACCTCTTCGTTTTCCCTCTCTCAGTGAGGTATGCCAGGCAGGATTTGGAAGGCCTTGAGTTTGTTGGGGGGCTTGGACCAATGTGGACTGGGTTGGATCTGGAACTCTGCTTGTCTTCTCTCTGTGCCAGTCTAGAGTCTTTTTTGGGAGTTACCATAAGCTTGATATAGGTGAAGCCCCAGGCTTTGCTGTGACCTGACCAGTCCCCCAATCCTGACCCTGCAGCCTTTTTCCTCCTGCTGTATCGGCTCCGCTGGGCACCGCACAACGACCACCACCACAGGGCTCCCCATGCCACCAGTCCCTGCCACTCTGGCTCACACTCACCCTTCCCTCACTCGCTCCCAGTCAGTCCCAGCCTCTACAGGCCTGGGCTGGGGGACTGGGCTGGTGGCTCCTGTACAGGAGGGCAGCATCAGCGCCACCCTTGCAGGCACCCAGGACACTCGGTGGGGCAGCCCCACATCCCTGGAGGGTGAGCTGGGGGCTGTGGCCATCTTCCATGAAGCCCTGCAGGCAGCTGCCCTTCGGGTCCTGTGTGCCCTGGGTATGTAACACTTGTCGCTCATCTTTCCTTCCCACTCCAGAAGTCCCAGCCCGTATCCCACTGTTCCAGGATGAGGGTATTGGATTTATAAAGTCCCCAAGCCAAAGACTAGGGGTCCCCAGGGCAGAAAGCAACCTTGGGAATTTCCTCTGCATAACAGGAAAGAGGCAGGCTGTAGATGGGGTTTGACCAGAGGCCCTGAGGTCTAAAACCTCACCCTTCTCCTTCCAGGGCCCAATGAGCCGGTACCCTTCAAGCCGGAGGGTGAACTACACGAACTTAGTACCAAGCTGCTTCTTCATTATTCTCCTCAGGTATTTGGGGATTAGCGGGTGGTTGGCTTAACTGTGCTCCCTTCCTCTGGCTCCCACCTTCAGTCTGCCACCCCCTTCTCCATTTGATCCTTGCTGTATCTCTTACCACGCCCCCACCCCAGGCCTGTAAGAACAACATCTGCCTGGACCTGTCCCCTGGCCATGGGCTGGATGGCCGCCTGACTGGCCATCGGGTGGAGACATGGGATGTGAAGGTGCGTGGGTGCCTGTGTACACATGGGCAGTGAGACACAGGTATGACAAGCTGGCTGGGAGGAGTTCTGGGTCCTCACAGGATTTGGGAGACCAGCTCAAGAAAATGACACTCCTTGCCTCCAGGTTCCTAGGCAGAACAGTTCACTGGGGTGGAGGGGCAGGACGCTGGTCTGAAGCTATTTTCTCACCATCATCCCCTCCCCCAGGATGTGGTGAATTGTGTAGGGGGCATGGGTGCCTTGCTGCCCTTGCTGGAGCGAGTGGCTGTGCAACCCCAAGAGGCTGAGGCAGGTCCAGGTGAAACACATGACCTTGTGGGACCTGAATTGACTTCTGGCTACAACACTCAGGGCTTACTTCTCCCCCTGGGCAAGTCTTCAGGTGAGTGTCCCTTGTACCTGGGTGAGAGAGAGAGTCTTGGTATGGTGGGGGAGCTGAACACTTGAGGTAGTAGCTACTGGCAGGTCCTTGACCTACATCTGTCCCCTTCCTGGTGGCTGGCAGAAGAACGGATGGAGAGGAACGTAGTGGCTGCCTTTCTCCTGATGCTGCGGAACTTCCTGCAGGGCCATGCAGTGAACCAGGAAAGCCTGGTGCAGTGCCAGGGGCCTGCCATCATTGGGGCCCTCCTGCGCAAGGTAAGGCCTAGTGGGGCAGGTGGAGGAGAGACGGGGCAGGACTCTTCTGGCCAGTGACATCTGAGTGGGGCCTGAATTACTGGGCTGTTTTGGTTGTAAGGTTGTGGAAGAAAAGGTGGCTCAGGCTATGGTAGGGGAGCTGGGCCACAGCCCAGGCTAGGAGCTTGCATTTCAGAGATGGCAGGGGGCCCTGAAGGGCTGTGACATATCTATGTCCATGATGCTTATTGCTGGGAAGGGTGGACACTGAATGGCAGGGACAGCAGGTAGGTAGAACCTGACTTCTATCTCAGCCAGCGCCTTCTCCCTTCAGGTTCCCAGCTGGGCCATGGACATGAATGTGCTCATGTCTGCCCAGCTGCTGATGGAGCAGGTGGCTGCTGAGAACAGTGGACCCCTCCTCTACCTGCTCTACCAGCATCTGCTCTTCAACTTTCACCTTTGGACCTTCAGTGACTTTGCCGTGCGCCTTGGTAGGTGGGGGTTCCAGGGTAAGAGGCTGGCCATAGGGAAGGTGGGGGTGAGAGATTATAACCCTGCTCTTGATCTGAGGGGACATATCTGACAGGGCCACAGCTCTGCCCCAGGGTGTGTGAGGGAATGTGACAGTATCTGGCATGCTATCCACCCAGGTCATATCCAATATATGTCCAGCATAGTCCGTGAGCACAGGCAGAAACTTAGGAAGAAGTATGGAGTCCAGTTCATCCTTGATGCTCTGCGCACACACTACAGGTGAGGCTGGTGGGACTAGGTTCATGGTGGATGATTTATATAGCAGCCCCTGACTTTGGGGACAAGATGATATGCTGCCCCAACTAGCCTGCCTTCTCTCCCTGTGTCTCTGGCTTTCTTGGCCCTGCTGACTGTCCTTGCTGAACCCACCAGCCTGCAGCGGGAGCGCCCCCTTGCAGCTGATGACCTGCGCACAATACAGACTTCCCTGCTGGGCCTGGCCCGTGAGTTCCTGGTTCGGAACATCTCAGCTGATGACATGCAGGTTGTGCTGAGTTTTCTAGCAGCCACTGGTGACAATGGCCAGGTAGCCTGGAGGTTGGGGAGGGTGAGGCTTGGGTGACAGAGGTATGTGAGCCAGCTGAGGGTGCCAGACTAAAGTGACATTCTGTATCCTCAGGTGGTGGGTGCATTGGACCTACTGCTGGCCATACTTCAGGGTTCTCCTGCACAGGAGCCCTTGGCCATCTTCCTGTTGGAGCCAGGGAACCTGGAAGTGCTGCTTTCACTGCTGGTGCGGCCAAAGGCACCGCCGCTGCTGACTGACAGAGTTTGCAAGGTACACCCAAGCCACCTTCTGCTCTTGGAATCCATTCACTGAGTCCTTTGGGTGGAGTTTAGGGAAGCCTTGTATCCATGGATAAAGTTAGCCACCTTTATGGGCTTCTCCTGGAGCCACACATCTGCACAGTGACATCTATGTTAAGTCCTTCTCCATAACTGCCTCTTGATGGCTCTCACACAGATCCTTCGAAGACTGCAGCAGAATGAGCGGTTACCTGAGCGAAGCCGCCAGAGGATCCGTCTGCGGGACAGTGGTCTCCAGGGTCTTGTGGCCTGCTTGCCTGAGGGGATGGTCTCCCCCCAGCTGTGCCAGGGCCTGTACAAGCTGTTTGTAGGGGCAGGTATGACCTAGTTGGGCTCAAGAGGCAGCTCAAATAGAGGAGAAGGAAGCAGCTCAGTGGTAGAGTGCTTGCTTCACATGTGCAAAACCTTGATTTAGTCGCTCCCCCCAACACATACACAAATGGGCGCACACACATGCACGCACGCACATCAAAAGAAACAGACCAGGTAGAGGGAGCAATATGTATTAAGAAAATGGGGGGCCGGGCATGGTGGCGCACGCCTTTAATCCCAGCACTCCGGAGGCAGAGGCAGGCAGATCTCTGTGAGTTCAAGGCCAGCCTGGTCTACATAGTGAGCTGGGGCTACAGGGAGACCCTGTCTCAAAAAGACCAAAAGAAAATGGGGCTGGTGGGAAGAGGAAATGTTGGCATAGAGGCCAGAATTGAGTGTAGCCCCCTTCTATTGGGTCAGTCCCTCAGGCCACATCCCCAGATTGCCTGAACCTCTCAGATTTGTTGGCTGTGGTACAGCTGTCCCTCCAGGCTGACCTCAGCATCCGCCTGGACATCTGTCGTCAGGTGAGTGAAAGATAAAAGCTTTAGGGTCAAGGGGTGGCTTTACCCTCTGGAGTTCATTTTGCTTGTTGGGAATGAGGGAGTATCTCTGGAGGACCCCCCCCAACACACACTGGGATGAGGGTCTAGGATAAGCAATTGGATGACCTGTCATTTGCTGTGCCCTGGCTTGGTAGCTCTTCCACCTCATCCATGGACAGCCAGAAGTAGTGCGGCTGTTGGCCCGACAGGCTTCCTGGCAGGATGTGCTGACTCAGCTGTACGTCCTGGAGGCTCCCATGGTGGAAGGTCCCCCATGCTTTCTCTCAGAGTCGATCACCTCCTTGGAGCCAGCCCTGTCCCCGCCACCCACTGAATCTCCTGATGTCTTCCTGCCCTCAGAATCCCCTTGCCCTGACCCTGATGCCTTTTACCACGCCCTCTCCCCATTTTGTACACCCTTTGAGTTGGGCCTGGAACGGGCCAGTGTGGGCTCAGGCAATACTGCTGGTGGCAGCAGCAGCGGGACTATTACTCCAGCCAGCCAACCTGGCACACCTTCCCCACTGGATGGACCACGACCCTTCCCTACTACCCAAGGCCGTCACAGCTCCAGTCTTTCCAATGTGCTAGAGGACGGCAGCCTCATAGAATCCACCATCAGTGGGGATGACACCTCTAACACCAGCAACCCCCAGGTGAGGTGGGTCCACCGTTGGCCACTGTATGGTGTCCCAGAGAAGACACCTCAGGAAAGCAGGGCTGGCTGTGTGAGCTCTCCAGAGGTGTAGTCTGATTCCAAGACTACAGCCATCAGGTGAGCCTGGCACTGTCCCTTGTAGCTCTCACCTGCAGTTGTGTTGAGCCAGAATGAAGGATAGCAGCCCTGTAGGGCCAAGACTTTATAGGGCCTAAGGGCAGCATAGTCCAAACATCTTGCCTTGGGCTACTGAATTTGGTGATAAGCCTTTGCTCGTCCGATGATATTCTAGAGAATTCCTAGGCAGTCTTGAGGACTTGAGGTAATGCCTTTGTGAATGTCATCTCCCCCAGAATCCAATAAAAGCCCAGGTTTCTCCCCAGAGTTCAGGCAGTGGCTGAAGTCCCTATGCCATTTTTCCAAGCCATTGGTGCCAGCCTGGCTCTGCCTCTTGCCATTCCTACTAGTGAGCAGACAAGGGGTGCCGAGCAGGGATCCCATCCCTTCCCAGCCACCAGCCCTTACCACCTACCTATGCCCACAGCAAACCCCTGAGGAGGAGCTATGCAACCTGCTCACCAACATACTGTTCTCAGTAACTTGGCGGGGTGTGGAGGGCAGTGATGAGGCCTCCTGGCGGGAGCGCGGCCAGGTCTTCTCCGTGCTCACTCAGCTGGGAGCCTCAACCACACTCATCCGCCCACCAGACTGCATCAAGCGCTGGTAAGAGGGAAGCTTGGGAGGGTGAGGGGTCTCCTGGAGCCTGGGGGCCAAAGAGGATGTGAGGAAGACATCAGTCCCTCTCCTGCCCAGCCTCCTAGAGATGATGCTAGAGTCAGCCCTGACTGATATCAAGAAGGCTCCCCCAGGGGGCCTGGCTAGCCTTACTCAGCAGGCGCTGTGGCTGCTACGTCTGCTGCAGGATTTCCTGTGCGCTGAGGGTCATGGTAACCAGGAGCTATGGAGTGAAAAGGTATGACCGTTTAGAGGGGTGTGAGCCACATAAGCGCTGGTGTCTTTATGAGCCTGTGGCTATCTGGTCTGGGAGGTGGACGAGTACACAGGGCAGTCCTGGGTGCATCAGTATGGGTTTCTGTGAGCGTGTCTTGTCTGTCCAAGTGTTGGAGTGTATGTCAGTGTTGGAGGTGGGCTGGGTATACCTTTCAGGGTTGGTCAAACGGCAGAGGCAGTGCTCTCGGCTCAAACCTTACCTAGCCTCTCTCCCCATGAATCCCTGGCCTCATGTGGTGACATGTGTTGGGAATATGTTGTATGTGCCAGCTCTTCGAAGGTGTGTGTTGCCTGCTTGATCGACTGGGCGCCTGGCCTCACTTGGCCAACAGCACAGCTGATCTCCGTGAGATGGCACAGATTGGCCTGCGTCTTGTCCTAGGGTATATCCTGTTGGAGGACCCACAGGTGAGCTGAGGGGTGGGCAACAGGGGGTAGAGATGTAGCAGGTAGAGGGGACTGAGAGCAGCTGGGTGCCACCTTTTTTGTCCTTGCACCACAGCTACATGCCCAGGCCTATGTGAAGCTGCATACACTACTGCAGACTGCAGTACCAGCCCGCCGTGAGGAGGCCTGCTATGTGCTCTCCAAGCTGGAGGCAGCACTGAGCCGGGCACTAAACACCTCCTCCTCTGAGACTGAGCGCATAGAGTCCCCATCGGTAGCTATGGCAGCCTCAGAGCGCTGCTCATGGCTGGTGCCTCTGGTACGTACGCTGCTGGACCGTGCCTATGGACCACTAGGACTGCAGTGGGGGCTGCCCTCCCTGCCACCTACCAACGGCAGTCCCACCTTCTTTGAGGACTTCCAGGCTTTCTGTGTGACACCTGAATGGCGCCACTTCATCGACAAGCAGGTGCCTAATGGAGGTTGGGATCGAGGAAGAGGAATAGGGGCTAGGGCACACCTCGAGCTCTGCTCTCTCCCTAATTCTCCAGGTACAGCCCACTATGTCCAAGTTTGAAATGGACACGTATGCTAAGAGCCATGACCTCATGTCAGGTTTCTGGAATGCCTGCTATGACGTGCTCATGAGCAATGGGCAGCGGCACCAGCAGGAACGCACCCATAGTCGACAGGCCTTCCAGGTGTGCTGCCTATACTGGGGGACAGGTTGCTGCTTCATCTGTGTGCTGAGGGGACAGCTAATAGGACAGGGTGGAGAATGGGTCAGAGAGACGAGCCTGTGGGACTGACCTATCCCCTCCCACCACAGGAGCTGGTGTTGGAACCTGTCCAGCGCAGGGTTCGCCTAGAGGGGCTGCGCTACACAGCGGTGCTGAAGCAGCAGGCAGCACAGCACTCGATGGCTCTGCTACATTGGGGGGCATTGTGGCGCCAGCTTTCTAGCCCTTGTGGGGCCTGGGCACTAAGGTAGGCTGGGCTTTAAGTGGAGGAGCTGGACTTGGTGGTAAGGGAGTACTTTAAGAGTGCCAAACTGTCTTTGGTACTCTGTTCAAGGTCTTAAAGTAATGCAAATAAAAATAGCAGCCTAGAAGGGGGATGCGCTGTACCCTTCTGTCCACTCATGACTAACCCCGGGGGATGTATCTGCAGGATCCCTCCAACTCCACACTGGAAGCTGTCTAGTGCGGAGACATACTCACGTATGCGTCTGAAGCTGGTCCCCAACCATCACTTTGACCCTCATCTGGAAGCCAGTGCCCTCCGTGACAATCTGGGTGAGTTGCTGTACCAGGTCCACCCAACTGGTATTTCCCATCATGTCTTACTCTAACTGAGTACTCTTGACTTCTTGCAGGTGAGGTGCCCCTGACACCCACGGAAGAGGCTGCACTGCCTCTGGCAGTGACCAAAGAGGCCAAAGTAAGCACTCCACCAGAGGAGCTACAGGAGGACCAATTAGACGAGGATGAGCTGGCTATGCTGGAGACCCCGTGAGTGGGTGGACCAGGGGCTGGCCTAGGGATGGCAGGCATCTATGCCAATGTGTACATGCCTGCTGTGGGACTGAGGCTCAGTCTGTGTCTTCTGCTGCCCAACTTTAGTCTCTTGATGGGACTCTCCAAATGAAATCAGGAGACCTGTGAGAGTCACTGGGCGTGGTGGCATGTCTTTAATTCCAGCACTCAGGAAGCAGAGAGAAGCAGACAGATCTCTATGAGATGAAGCCAACCTGATCTCGTAGTGAATTCTAGGCCAGCTGGAGCGACAGGGGGACCCTATCTCAAAACACCAATCAACCAAACAACAACAACAACAAAAAACTAAAATCAAAAAACCTCGGGAGAGTCATTTAACAGGGTGGTCTTTAATAGCTAGGCACCCCTGAGCAAGGTTAAGAAAAACCAGAGCAGAATGGGGACCTGGAGAATGGGCAGGAGCAAAGCAAGGTGGTGGTGAGGGGGCACAACCTGATAAACAGCCATTGGGACTTCATAAGCCCAGGTGGGGTACAGGGTCAGTTAGTACCAGGCCCTGGGCAACTCCTCCCTCTTGGGGAGGTGTCAGCTTATGTACCTTATGACTCAATGGCCCTCAGAACTTGTCAAGATGGGGGTGCCAGAGTCACCAGCTAAGGTGGGTGCTGGCCCCCAGGATGGAGGCAGTGGAGCTGGATGAACAGCGTGAGAAACTGGTGCTGTCAGCTGAGTGCCAGCTGGTCACTGTGGTGGCCGTGGTCCCAGGACTACTAGAGGTCACTACGCAGCATGTGTACTTCTACGATGGCAGCACCGAACGTGTGGAAACTGAGGAGGGTACGTTGTGATGGAGCAGGCTGAGGGGTTGGCAGAGAAGGGCCAAGGTCTGGGTGAGGCTAGAGCCAGTGACTCTTTATATCTGCTGTTCGCCCCATAGGCATCGGCCATGACTTCCGGCGCCCACTGGCCCAGTTGCGTGAGGTCCACCTGCGGCGTTTCAACCTGCGCCGTTCAGCACTTGAGCTCTTCTTCATTGATCAGTCTAATTACTTCCTCAACTTCCCGTGCAAGGTGGCCGGGTCCTCCACTTCATCTCCCTCTCAGTCTCCCAGGCCCCAGCCCTACCCCATCCCACCCCATACCCAGGTACGGAACCAGGTATACTCATGGCTCCTGCGCCTACGGCCACCTAGCCAAGGCTACCTAAGTAGCCGCTCCCCGCAAGAGATGCTGCGTGCCTCAGGCCTTACCCAGGTGAGAGCCCTGAATATGTGTTGGGGGTTGGTGGTGAAGTAAGAACTTGGAGAAATGGACATGCTAGGCAGCTTCACTGCTCACCTTTTGCTGTCCTGCCCCCCTAGAAATGGGTACAACGTGAAATAACCAACTTCGAATACTTGATGCAACTCAATACCATTGCGGGGCGCACCTACAATGACCTGTCTCAATACCCTGTGGTGAGGGCCCTGCTCTGCACTCTTTCCCCAACTCTGATCTGTCAGTGCCAGCTAATGGGCCAGACCCTGAGCAATACACCTCTGATTAAGACCTGGCCTTTGTTTCCTGCCACTGCCTCAGTCCTTAGCCCTCTTTTCTCCCTGCTGGCCCCTGGTCTTTCTGAAAGGACTGTCATAGACTGTCTGCTCTCCTACAGCCCTTCCAAGTGGTACTCCCAGCCTGTGAGCAGGCTCTGCCCATCGCCTTGTTGAGGGCAGGGCAGGGTGGGCTGGCAGGGCATCAGGGACTTCATGCAGCTCTTTCCCTGGGTGGGTGTCCAGTTCCCCTGGGTCTTGCAGGATTACGTGTCCCCAACCCTGGACCTCAGCAACCCTGCTGTCTTCCGGGACCTGTCCAAACCCATCGGTGTGGTGAACCCCAAGCATGCCCAGCTCGTGAGGGAGAAGTGAGCATGTGGGCAGGGCAGGGCTCAGTGGGCCGGGGATGGGTGAGGGTAGGGCTTCTGCTGACTTCCTGCTACCTGTGGCTCTAGATATGAGAGCTTTGAGGACCCAGCAGGCACAATTGACAAGTTCCATTATGGTACCCACTACTCCAATGCAGCAGGCGTAATGCACTACCTCATTCGTGTGGAACCTTTCACCTCTCTTCACGTCCAGCTTCAGAGTGGCCGGTGCGCCCAGCAGTGATGGGAGGGTGGGGAGACAGGCCAAGGGAGGAGGCAGGTCTTTCTGGCACTTTGGCTGATCCTGGCTGCCCTCTCTCCAGCCATACCTCCCTCCCAATCATCTCACCTTGGCTATGTACCTCTACCAGCTTCGACTGCTCTGATCGACAGTTCCACTCGGTGGCAGCAGCCTGGCAGGCCCGCCTGGAGAGCCCTGCCGATGTGAAGGAGCTCATTCCAGAGTTCTTCTACTTCCCCGACTTCCTGGAGAACCAGAATGGTAGCATGCAAGGCACTGGCTGTGGGAGTGGGGCCTGGGAACAAATGCACAGACTGGTGCAGACAGGGATAGTAAGAATACACTGCTGACTGGGTCCTCTGCTAGGCTTTGACCTGGGCTGTCTCCAGCTGACCAACGAGAAGGTGGGTGATGTGGTGCTGCCCCCATGGGCCAGTTCTCCTGAGGACTTCATTCAGCAGCACCGCCGGGCTCTGGTGAGGAGATGACCACCCAGAGACAAGCAGGCAGCCAGGGTTGAGGGTTGTGGTAAAGGTCAATGATTGTCCCTAGACTGACCACCACTCCATACCCTCAGGAGTCTGAGTATGTGTCTGCCCACCTGCATGAGTGGATTGACCTCATCTTTGGCTATAAGCAGCGGGGCCCAGCAGCTGAGGAGGCCCTCAACGTCTTCTATTACTGCACCTATGAGGGTAGGCAGTGCACTGCACATAAGCCAAAACCAGGGTACACAGAGTCCTGACTGCTCTGCCTCCCCCTCAGGGGCCGTAGACCTGGACCATGTTGCAGATGAGCGAGAACGGAAGGCTTTGGAGGGTATCATCAGCAACTTTGGGCAGACGCCCTGTCAGCTGCTAAAGGTAAGATCTGCTTAGAAGACAGTGATCAAGGATGCCCATGGCATGGTGCTGACCAGCTACCTGTCCACAGGAGCCACATCCACCCCGGCTCTCAGCTGAGGAAGCAGCCAGTCGCCTTGCCCATCTGGACACTAACTCACCTAGCATCTTCCAGAACCTGGACCAGCTCAAGGCCTTCTTTGCTGAGGTGAGAAGAGGGCAGGAACTCAAGTTCTCATTCTGTGAGAGGGGTTTAATTCCATTGGCCATTGTCTATACCCACTCCTGGGGGCAGATGGGAATATTAATACTAATCAAGGTAATTGATTTAACAGCATCGTGGAAAAGAAACATTGAGGGTGAGAGGAAGGACTGGGACAAGCTGTGACTTATTGACCAATCTCTTGAGTGACCAAGCTGTGACTTATTTGACCTTGGACCCTTCCTGCATCCTCAAATAGGCTCTCTTCTTGTCATTAGGCAGAGAGGCAGAGGAGTAATGGGATGGGGGGACCAAGATTGAGATCTGAGATCGAGCTTGCTCCCTGGTTCTTTATGTCTACCCCAACTTCTTTTTCTGTGATACCCTTCTATATGCCCACTGGTATCATGTCTGTTTCTAGGAAAGACCTCCACATCTGTGGTATCTGGGGGCCAAGGGCAATGGAAAGGGGGTACCCACTGAGCAGACTGTCTAATTGGGAATCCAGCTGCCCCTTGCATAGCCAGGCCTATACTTTTCTCTACAGGTTATCAGTGAAGGCATACCTCTGGTGTTGGCTCTGGTACCCCACCGACAGTCCCACTCCTTCATCACCCAGGGCTCCTCAGATCTGTTGGTAAGTGCACTAGGCAACTTACTTAACTTCACCCTTCTGATTCTGTCCCCAAACCACCTCTGTATACTTTTACCCGCAGGTGACTGTGAGTGCCAGTGGGCTGCTGGGCACCCATAGCTGGTTGCCCTATGACCGAAACATAAACAACTACTTCAGTTTCAGCAAAGATCCCACCATGGGCAACCCCAAGTAAGACAGGGCTGTGGGTAGGAGTGGGCTATAAATGCTCTGTGCCATCGCCCCTTCTAAACAGGGTACGGGCCAGCTTCAAGGGAGAGGTCTGGCTAAGATTCCTGATAGCCTAGATCTCTCTCCCTGTGGCCCAGCCTCACCTACCATCTTCCCACTGAGTTAGGATGCAAAAACTACTGAGTGGGCCATGGGTGCCAGGCAGTGGAATGAGTCGGCAAGCACTGGCAGTGGCCCCCGACGGAAAGCTGCTCTTCAGTGGTGGCCACTGGGATGGCAGCCTGCGAGTAACTAAGCTACCCCATGGCAAATTGTTGAACCAGCTAAGCCAACACCTTGGTATGAGCAACCCTAGTACTGGGAAGAATGAGATGGGCAGAAGTAGAATGAACCTAGTCAAGAAGGGTGTACCAGCTCTGCTCTGCTTCTGTGTCCTCCCCTACTCATGCAGATGTAGTAACCTGCCTTGCACTGGACACCTGTGGCATCTACCTCATTTCAGGCTCCCGGGACACCACATGCATGGTTTGGCGGCTCCTACAGCAGGTGTGCTTGGTGGGCAGTCCTATGGGGTCCCTGTAGCCCAGACCTGAAGCCCATCTGCCCCTCAGGTAGCCAACAGGACTGCCCTCCTGTCATCCTCTTTACTACTGTGTGCAAATCTGGGGGCTCCATGATCACTAACCTTCTGGCTTTGAATAAAGCATTCACTAAGTCCTAAACCAGCCCTGGTTTCCCACAGGGTGGTCTATCAGTAGGACTGGCACCAAAACCTGTGCAGGTCTTATATGGACATGAGACTGCAATAAGCTGTGTGGCTATCAGCACAGAACTCGACATGGCTGTGTCTGGATCTGAGGTGTGTTTGTGTGTGCCCTGGGGAGGCTAAGTTTTCAGGATACTGTCTCTGGAACTCTCAGTCCTCTACCCAGGGTCCTAAGCTGCCTTTTTGTAGGATGGAACTGTGATCATACATACTGTACGTCGTGGCCAGTTTGTGGCAGCACTAAAACCTCCAGGTGCAACATTACCTGGACCTGTATCTCACCTGGCACTGGGGTCTGAAGGTCAGATTGTGGTACAGAGCTCAGCTTGGGAACGTCCTGGAGCCCAGGTATGTGGAAAGGGTACCCAGCAAAGACAGTTGGGGAGTTGGAATGGTGGGGCAGTTGCTGATGATCCATTTCCCTACAGGTCACCTACTCCTTGCACCTGTACTCAGTGAATGGGAGGTTGAGGGCTTCACTGCTCCTGACAGAGCAGCCTACAGCCCTGGCAGTAGCAGAGGACTTTGTTTTGATGGGCACCACTCAATGCACCCTGCACATCCTCCACCTGAACAAGTGAGCCCCCATGTTTGAATTCATGGCCCCTCAAGGTGGCACTTGTTTGCACAGGGTCTTAGGGAGTGCATCCTGTCTATGGAACAGGTCTGTAGGCACATTCCTCTATTGTGTTATCTGCCCACTTACCCATGGGGAGATCTTGTCCTGAATCTCCCTCAGCCATACAGTTATGGGAGTTCCTTTTATGAATCAGGGTTTCTATTTAGCCATCCTTAAGAACAGAGAAGTTACACGGGATAATGAAGAGACATGTCAGTTGGGTCCGAAGCCCCCTTGCAGTTGTGACTATGTATACCCACTTCCCTGCACTAGACTGCGGCCTGCCACGCCTCCCCTGCCCATGAAAGTGCCAGTCCGCAGTGTGTCCGTGACTAAAGAGCACAGCCATGTGCTGGTGGGCCTGGAGGACGGCAAGCTGATCGTTGTGGGTGCCGGGCAGCCCTCTGAGGTGAGGACCGGGCAGGCAGGGCTCCAGTATGGCTGGGCGCGGAGGCCCGGCTCACCCCGCCCCATCGCTGCTCCCGCCAGGTGCGCAGCAGCCAGTTCGCGCGAAAGCTGTGGCGCTCCTCGCGGCGCATCTCCCAGGTGTCGTCTGGGGAGACGGAGTACAACTCTGGGGAGGCTCGCTGAGCTGGGCAGTTCTCCGCCGCTCAGGCCCCGCCCCGGCACGCCCGACGGAGGCCCGACCCATGAGATTGCTGCTCCCGGGGGTGGGCAGGGCCCACCCTCCAGCTCAGGGATTAGTGGACGGCGTCACAAGGAAGTCCCACCCCTCGCCGGCTGAGGGGCGGAGAGACCCAGCGCCGGCCGCCACGGCTGCGGCTGCAATTTTTGCACAACCTGGGGCGGGTGGGGGCGGTGTTGTCCCTATTTCAAGCCCTGTGTCCCACTGAAGCACAAGGACCGCCTGTGGCCTTAACCCCCAAAGGTGATCCTCTCCCGCCCAATCTCAGCAATAAACTTGGCCTGGTTTTGTAGTTGCTTGGTCTCTCGCGTGTACGTTTGCCCGACGTCTCGTCCACCATTCCTGGTCCCTGTCTCTGAGCTGGCGTGCTTCCTCGCCTGGCCTCCCAGGCTGACCTCCATGCAGCCAGCCGAGCCACCTCGGTGCTTTGGATCCCTGCCGCAGTTTCTCCCAGCTGGCACCTTCAGACCATCCAACCGCTGGGGACTTGGAGGGTCTTCCCCTAAATCTTTTTAATCCCTCTTCAGCCGGTATTTGTCCTATTCCCAGACCTGGAAGTGTCTCTTCCCTAGCCTTTAGTAAGTGTGTTCCAGAAGATTTAGTCCTGTGGGGTCCAGATGGGCCCTGGGACTGAATGGCTCTGTCCTTAGAGTTTCAGGCCCGCTCTGAATTTTCAAGTAAGAAAGGACCCCGGGGTCCCTGGGTCTACATGCCTTATGAGGTTTTTGAATCCATCCATCAACATGCCTTCTCAACTCAGCCTAACCAGAAAAGGGCTAACCACTGAGAAGTGACTACTGGAGGTCCTGCTTTGGGACCTTCAGATGTTGGGTTCCTGCCAGTGTGTATTGGGGTGAGCCTTCCACCTGTCTTTAAGTTGCTTCAGCCTGAGATGGGGTCACAGGGCCATATCTACTTTACCCTCTTAACATCCTTGGACTCTGTTTGCCAAGGTCTTTGAGACAGGGTGATTTCTAGCCTGTCCTTACCCATCCTGAGCTGTACCCTGACCCACTAACTTTGGCCATGTGGGTCCAGTGCTGTCACCTCCACCTATTTGACACAGGAGGAAACTGTTCCGGCCTTGGAGTTAGTCAAGATAGAGTGAGCCAGGGATGGAGACAGGCTACTCCCAGGGATTTCTAACAGCAGGCCTGAGGATTTCCTCATATCCCTGCACAGAGCTCCTTCCAAACTCAGAAAAGCAGCCTCCCAGCTCCCTCAGCTCAGTGCTGCCCACCACCCTCCGAACCACTTCACCAAGAAATAGCCCCACTTGAGCACTTGCCATCAACAGAGCCATGCTTCACAACTCCAGCCACAGCAAATGTGTGGTCTATGCAGGTAAGCATTCCTTCCCCCATATCTTAGGCAGTGGCATGCCAGGAGGTACCCTGACTGAGTAGGTCATCTACAAGTCCAGTTACAGGTTCTAGAGTCCCTGTCCACTGTGCCCTATTTACACTGGGTTGGGGGACCAACTGGACTTCAGGCAGAAGACAGCAACAGTATTTACTTCTAGTTCAGCTTTTATTTTTCCACTTCAGCCTTATTTTGCAATAATTTCTAAGACCTGCGTGCAGAGGCCCCGTGAGACCAACAGGAATTGGTGTGCTCTTACAGTTCAGACTGGGAGTCAAGACATAGTTCAGTGCCATGGTAGACAGAGGTGGTACTGGAGCCAGAAAAGAGAGATCAAGGAAGGCTTCCAAATTAGACTCCTGAGCTGGGTGTGGTAGTATACTCGGGAGGCAGAGGCAGGCAGATCTCTGCGAGTTAAGGCCAGCCTGGCCTACATAGTGAGTTCTAGGCCAGCTGGGGCTACAGGGAGATCTTGTCTCAAAAAGACAAAACAAAAAAAAACAAACAAACAAACAAAAAAGTAGACTCCTGCATTTTTCAGAGGATATAACAGCAAGAGCAGAAATCTAGGAACTTGGGAGGACAGGACACCTCTGGGAGGGGCTGTATCCAGAATGGCAAAAGGCCAGTTTAAAAAAAAGAATTTTAGAGACTGGAGAGATGGCTCAGTGGTTAACACTGACTGTTCTTGCAGAAGACCTGGGTTGGAATCCCAGCACCCACATGGCAGCTAACAACTGTCAGTAACTCCGGTTCCAGGGGCTCGGACAGCCTCCTCTGTCCTCTGCAAACATTGCAAAACACAAGACACGGATGCATTTACCTACATGCAGGTATAATACTCATACACATAAAGTAAAAATTATAAATAAAATGTATTTTTTTAAATTTTTTTAAAAAAGAATTTAAGATGTATTATCCTGTATGTGTATGTCTCTGTACTTGTGTGAATGCCTTCAGAAGCCTGAAGAGGACATCAGATTCCCCTGGAGCTAGAGTTACAGGCAGCTGTGAGCCATTCGATGTAGTGCTAGGAACTGAACTCCAGCAATGTGAAAGAGTGGCAAGTGCTCTTAACTGCTGAGCCATTACTCTAGCCTTTTAAAATTCTTTTACATTTATTTATTGTGTGGCACACACACACACACACAGAGCAAACATTTGGAGATCAGAGCACAACTTGGGGGAGTCAGTTCTCTCCTTCTACCATGTGGGTCCTAGGGATCAAATTTAGGTTGGTCAGGCTTGGTGGCCAGCACCTTTACCCTCTGAGCCATCTTGCCAACCCACCAGGGCCAGCCAACTCTTGATGCCATTCTGAGTCTCTGACTTTATGGTGAAGACTATTGCTTTCAGAATCTTTTGGCAAGATCTAGGAACCATAGCCTTTGTTTCTCTCTCTCGACCACTGTCTTTTTCTTCACAGACACAGCCCTGAGAGGGCAGGATAGGGACATAGAAGTGTGGGTAGGAATTGGGGAAGCCTTGGCCCCCAACACCTCCTCCCTGTTTCCCCCTGAGCCTCCAGGGACCTCAGCAACATCATTCCACTCTACTGTGCTCTCCTGGCCACTGTGGTCCTTGGTCTGCTTGCCTGTGGTCTTCAAATGGTAGGTGGTCTGGGTACTACCCTGTGGCTTTCCTCTACACTATCCTAGCCAGTCCCTCTCTTGTCTTGGTGAAGGTGAAGCAGGTTGATAAGTATCCCCTGCTCCCCACAGTTGGCGCTCACATAAGCAAAGACAACAGCTGGCCAAAGCTCGGACTGTAGAGCTGGGAGACCTTGACAAGAACCAGAGGCATGGTGTCAACAGTATCTTTGTGGACTCTCCTAGAGGTCTAGAGCCCTGTATTCCTAGCCAGGGTGAGTATATTTCCTCAGTCTACAGTCCTTTAGGCTTATCTAGTGTTACCCCACCACCCACTCACGTGACTCTTATGTCTTCCACCCCAGGACCGTATCCTGATATTGGCTGCCAACTTTACCTTCACATTCTGCAGCAGCAGCAGGAGGAAGTAGAGCGGCTCTTGATGTTGGGCGAACCTGACAAGGGTTGGCAGGGCCTGGCAGGCCACCTGGGCTACCAGGCCAAAGCTGTGGAGACCATGGCCTGTGGCCAGATGCCAGCTTATACCCTGCTGAGGGACTGGGCTGCTCAAGAAGGCAGCAGAGCTACCCTCAGAGTGCTAGAGGATGCACTGTCTGCCATGGGCCGTGAAGATGTGCTCCAGGTCCTGGGCCCACCAGCTGTGGTGTGAGTGAAACCTTCTGGTGCTGCTTGCACTGGTGCTCACTACTCCTACTGCCTCATTCATGGGCTTTGTAGTATTGCTAGCTTTAGCCTGCTCTGTTCTGGCAGAACACAGAAGATCCAGCAGTCAGTCACATCCTTTCCCTTCTCCCTCTCCTCCAACACAGGGGCCAAAATATGGGAGCAGGAGGGTAGAAGGTGGGGCATGGGCCTGCCCTCAAATCCCCACTCCACATTCCTTTTCCTTGGCCTAAGCAGTTTTTCTACTTTTGTATTGCATATTAAAGGTGACACTGGACTTCTGTTCTACTGTACATGGCTCCTTGGGCCTGTGAGATAGTTGAGTAGCTGTGAAGCAGAGGCTCAGAAAAGAATTTGGGGAGGTCCCTCTAGGGTATAGAAGACCCTCTCCAAGCAACTGCTGGGATGACAGGCAAGGCACTTGTATAGAAGGCATGTTATGGAGTCCCAGACTGGAATTCACATCTTAACCTGCCCCCGAACAGCTGGACCCCATTAGGAAGTCTTTTGCTGAACTTTAGCTTCCTCAGCTAGAGACATGTTCAGTAGGGTTCCCTATCCCTAAGATTCCCAGGGGTGGTGCAGAACTTTTGGGTTTGAGGTGATTCTTTTCTTTTGGGGGGAGAGGGGAACAACAGGGTTTTACTGTGTAGCTCTGCCTTTACAGACAAGTCTGGCATCAAACTCAGAGAGATCCACCTGCCTCTGCCTCCGAGTGGTTTAAAGGTGTATGCCACCACACCTGGCTTAAGGTGATTTTTCTGACTTGTGCTGTGACCACTAGATAGTAAGAGGCAGGTTGGTTATGAGCAGCTACTTGCTGAGGACCTCAGGTCTTTAATAAAAGGGAAGAAAGGGCTCTAGCTCAGTGGTAGAGCACGTGTCTAACACACATGAGACCCTAGGTTCAATCCTCAGAACTAAAAAAGCAAAAACAAAAAACCCCAGAATTCCACTCAGGAAAAGGGGAACTCTAAACAGGCTTCCACAGGCTTCCACTTAGCTTGAACACAAGGGGACAAGCAGGCTGTTCAGGACATAGGAGCTGAGCCAAACCACCTGCCCTTCCATGCACATGCCCATCCTGAAACAGGGGTGGGTAGGATGCTAGACAGGTGGCCTTGCCTAGAAAAGAACAATCCGCATGGATTAAGTTTTCGTTTATCCAAACTCACCGAGACCTGGGATCTAATCATGGCCCAGGGAGCCCAATGTAGATCTTATTCCCTCACTAAACTGAGAAGCACCTGGGATTGTTGCTTTGCATACAAAGCTTAACACAAACAGCTTCTACTGTTATTCCTCAGAAATAGTTTCCCAGAGCTGCTGAACTGCTTGTCTTTCTGTTAAGATAAATGGCAAAGCCAGTAGCTCAAATCTGTAATCCCAGTGTTCTGGAGACTGAGTCAGGAAGTTTACCACAGGTTTGATGCCAGCCTGGGCTACAGAGATCCTGTTTCAAAAAGAAACAGGGTTGGGGAAGAAGTTTATAGCCATCTTCACTTTCATCCTAAAATGACCCTAAGACAGCTGGGTGTGGTGGTCCATGCCTTTAGTCCCAGCACTTGGGAGGCAGAGGCAGGCAGATCTTTGTGAGTTCGAGGCCAGCCTAGTCTACCTCGTGGGTTCCAGGACAGGTGGGGCTACAAGGAGACCCTGTCTCAAAAAAAAAAAAAAAAAAAAAAAAAAAAAGACCCTAAGACTAGACCTGAAAGAACAGGAGAGAAACCAGAGAAGGCTCAGACCAGCATGCTAGGGACATCACACCTACTTCAACAGGGAGTCAGCTGTAGGGCTACTAAGGACTGGAATCAGAATTGAGCATAAAATTCTTCATGAACAGGTTATAGATTTTGGTACCTAGGGAGTTTGAACTTGGGGTGGGGGGGTTAATGGGGAAGAAGATATTTTGGGGGAAAAAAACAATTTCTTCTCAAAGAAGTATTTTCTGAAACTTGACAGCTAGTCACCATTCTTTAATGGAAGGCTGCCTTGATTTTCTTAGAAAAACATGGACACAGATCATGTTGAGAGTTGAATAAACTGTGGCTCACTTACAATATACTGCTTTAAAGTTTTGAAAGTGACAGTACATAGGAAAAGGCTTTGCATGTATAGGGTTAGTCCTCTATGTCCAGGCTTTACCTTCCTGGGTTCAGCAAACTGGTGATCAAATAACTATTTGCAATAGTGCCACAGCTATTGAATTAGAGTTTGGAAGTAATCTAGTGATGATACCTGAGGGTATTGTGCAGGCTATATGTAACTACTAGGCCATTTCATTTTGACACTCAGGCATCCATAAATTAGTATCCCAGGAGCACTGGACCCAATTCCTCACAGATACAAAGGAAGACTATGTTATTACAGTGTGTATTCTGACCACAAAGGATTTTTGTGCTCTAATACAGGATAGTAAATGAGTTACTGGTCTTTCCTTAGTTTTAGTCTCCTCATCAACAAAGCCAACTCCTGTAAAGTATGTAAGGATTAAGTGAATACATCCTGATCTCTGAAATGCATAGCACAACAGTCAGGCAGTTTGAGTGTTCTAATGTTTACTCCCTTGGTCCACACTTTGGCAGGCCATACCTAGTTTTGTTCTTTTCTTCCCCCGAGGGAGTGCTGCATTGAGCAGAATTCCCCTCTAGAGGAAGAGATGGGCCCAGGCTCTTTGTAGAGAAGTGCCCCAGTCTGGTCTGAATCTCCTGGCATTCCTCCTTGCCTAGAAATTTCACCCAAAAGAGGGGCTACATCCTGCATCCTCTAGCACACACGCTCACTCTCACCATATGCCAGTACCTATTTCCCTTCTATAGTGGTCCTCTGCTGCTTTCTTCTAGTGTCCAGACCCAGTGTTAGGTGTCAGAGTGGGAAGTTAGAACCCAAATAATTAAACAAGCATTCCTGTGGGCTGGGAGAAATGAAGTCTGATAGAAAAAGATCAGTAACTCTCTATCCAGACGGTATCAAGGGAAAGACCTATTTGGCCTTTTTCTTGATTTTGCTCCAACAAAAACAAAGCAGTCCAGTGCCAATGAGATCTCAGTCACACTTCCTTTGTTCTTGAATGTGTAAACTGCCCCAACTCCTGATCAAAGCCTAAAGATCCCAAGTCCACCAGGAAATGTCTGCCTGACACACAGTTGGAACTGTAGGGAACAAATCTTGTATTAAATGCAGTAGCAAAAATCAGTCTTGGACTCTGAATGCATACCAGTGGCCACTTACCTCCTTTTTCTCTTCAGTGACATCAACACAAACATGCTTAATTAAATTTAGGGAACACACCAGGTAAGGTGGTGCACACCTTCAGTCCTAGCACTAAGGAGGCAGAGGCAGGCAGATCTCTGTTGAGTTCAAGACCAACCTGGTCTACATAGTGAGTTCCAGGTCGGCTGGGGCTACAGGGAGACCCTGTCTCAAAAAGACCAAATAAATAAATAAATAAATAAATAAATATAGGGAACACACATACGAAGTTCTTTAATTGATTTTTATTTTTTACATAAAAAGTTCAGTAAAAATTGGATAAAGTAAAGTGATCTTAAGCAGTAAATCAATCTTATCAACATAGCACAAGGCTGGCCAAAACCACAAGGCAGCCTGCTTTGGAATATTTACATGATAACAAATTAAACCTTGCAGGAGAACTTATACTGTCCTTACAAAGTCTTTCTGTGATTCTAGCACATAGAGGCTAACAGGAAAACAAAAACCAGGAAAAAACAAATTATTTTCAATATATTCACATATACATTAAAATATAATACAGATCATCAGGGTAAAGGGTCTTGGGTGGGGATGCGCATGGGTCTTTGCGCTGACAGCACCGCCAAAGGGGAGACCCAGGTTTAAGAGTGGGATTGGGTGTGGCCAGGGTCTTCCCTAGGCTATTGCCTCTGATGGCCTGTAACTGTTACACCCTAACAGCTCACAACTAGGGGTCACTTGTAGATGGAAAATAATTTTTGTAGCTTACAGTTGATAACTGCAGTTTTAAACTGCCCAAGATGATGGGTCATCAGCAGCACATCCCTGCCACAGGATTTCTTCTCAGATTTTGTTGTTTCTGATCACCCATCCTGGCCCCGTAAGTCACTCTAATTCAGTGTCCTCTTTAGGTTTGTAAACAGCCCCAAACTTCTGCATGTACTTCTTAATGTACTCCTTGGTTTTATGCTTCACATTCTCATTGCACTCCAGGTCTTCAGGGTTCTTACAGTACTTCAGCTCCTTATTCATAACTCCATGAGTCAGCTGTCCAAGGCACAGAAGAGAGACCATAGACACAGTCAGATGGAAAATGATTTGAGGGAGGAGGATAACAGTCTGGGAGTTGAATAATAGGGTAGGTTGGGGCAGGCTGGTATATGGACACCAGAGAGGAGAAACTCAGCTCTGAAAGTCTCTTAGAGACATACTATCTTCAACAGGGTCTCCCTGGCTTCAAACGTTCCCTCACATTCCTGACAACCCTCCCCTCCCCCTAGCTTTGGCATCTGGCACGTAAACCCGTTCTTTCTATGAGGAAGGACGGTATCTTAGAAAGTACACAATTTGCCAGAAGCACCAATAGACCAGAAGCACCGATCACCAGTACCTTTCGAGCAAGGTGTTTGAAATCTTCAGTTGTGGTGATTCTACCCACTTTGCAGTCAGGTTTTCGGTAAGGATTCAGGCACTGAACAATGAACTGAGACATCTGTAGACAGAAGAAAGAGAACAATGAACTGAGACATCTGTGGACAGAAGAAAGAGAACATGCTGCTCACTATCACAGAGGAGGCAGGAAGTAGTACTGATGGAATCATTAGAAAAAGTAGCAAGTACAGCCAGCCAGTTCATCTTTTTTCCTCCCTCAGGGTTGCTGGTCTGGTCAGTAGAATGCTATGGAATGCTAGTAAGTCAGTGCCATGTAAGAAAATGACCCTGGCTCAGCCCTGAAAGGGAAGTAGCTCCTTGGCCAGACTAAGCTAGCCTCAGCTGGAGGCACCAGCAACAAGACTGATAGTAGCCTCCAGCCAACAAATTATATACTCCCATGAAGTGTGTACCACCACACCTACCTGGATAAACCTTTTATTCAAAGTGTTTCTGTGTTTGTCTGGCCTCCATACTTTCCCCCTTCACTCTGCTTCTCAATATACTCAAGCAATTTATTATTGCCTGCTTAAAATCCTGCCAGTGAGTCCATGAACCCCACAAACACAAAGCCCCTATACTGAAAAAGGGCGCAATATTATCCGGTCTTATTTCTAACACACCTCAGATGTCCTCTGATACAGACTGTGGGCCTACTTACAACTTCCTGAAAGGGATGACATATTCTTTCTTGCTTCTGTGCATTCTAAGGTTACATACCTTCCGGATTCATTTGACTAATTTTTACCCAATTCAAGAGCTTTTCCTGACACTATGATAGGGCTCGAGGCCTTTGCGTGTTCTTTGCATGGGTATCATTACTTCTTACAAGTCTGTTAACTTAACACATTATAAGCTCTTTCAATGAATGAAGACAAATTTAGAATTTGGGGACTAGCAAGATGACTCAGTGGATGAAGAGGCACATGCCACCAAGCCTGATGACCCAAGGTTGACCCCTAGGATCCATACAGGGGAATGAGAACCAACTCCCACAAGTGATCCACCTGACCTCCATACACATGTTGTGGCATGCACCATTCCCCCATATGAATAAATAAATGTCATCTGGATGCCTTAAGGAAGGCAAGGAGCTCAGTGTCCTATCAGGTAGAAACATACTCTGAAGAGCATAAACTTCTCTCTTCAAGCTTAAAAGAAACAAGTAGCTTGGCCCGGCGTGGTGGTGCACACCTTTAATCCCAGCACTCGGGAGGCAGAGGCAGGCAGATCTCTGTGCATTCAAGGCCAGCCTGGTCTACATAGTGAGTTCCAGGACAGGTGGGGCTACAGGGAGACCCTGTCTCAAAAAGACCAAAAAAAAAAAAAAAAAAAAAAAAAAGGAACAAGTAGCTACCAGGTATGACAGCAAAGAGAACTCAAATTTGGACCAAAGGACCTAAGGTTCAAGTCTTTTGTCCAGAAATTAGCTTTCTGAATCTTAAGTTTCTCCATACATGTAAGAGGAATGATAGTCTCCCTCATGCCTACCCCCCCGAGGGTGACTATGGTAACAGATACCAAAGTATATACTTTGATTTAAAGGGCCATAACAATGTGTCATTATATAACAAAACTACAAAGCCAGAACACAGAAAGGAATACCCAAAGATAAGGCAGTCTAATAATACATACAGCTCTCCTTTGCCTGGGATGCTACAGAAGGCCCACAGTGGAAGGCGTAAATGTGGTTGGCAAATGGGCTCCAGAAATGAGTTCTTGATGAGTAAAGCAGCACTTTGACAAGAGACATAAGTTAAACCTTATGTTCTTGTCAATCTTTGGGCAAGGGAGATGTCATACTTAAATGAATGGCTCAAGCAAAGCCCAAGGAGTATATTGTCCACACCTATTGAACCTTACCTCTTTTCTGAATACTTCTTTGCTTTTCTTGGCCAGCTCGCTGGAGGTGTCAGCTTCTGCTGTCTTGGGCTTTTTTGATGTCTAGAAAAGAGAAAACACAATAGTGTTAACATGAGATGTCAGTTTCATGATGTCCTAGTGTCCCAAAACTCTCATTTCTTCCCCCCTGGAGGCTACTCGGCTGGTATGTTTCAAATTCTGTCATCTGACTCTGGCCTCTTTATATGACAAGTTCTAATCGTCTGCCTTAAATAAAGCTGTATCTTTCATGTAGCTAGACATTTCCAGTTATTTTATAGTTATTCTGACAATGTGCTGTATGATTTGGTCCCTCATGTCCCTATTCTGAGATATCAGCTCTCCATATAGTCATGTGAAGCCTGGACTCAAGGAACTTAACTTTTCTGGGCTCTGGAATGTTAGTATTCTAGGACAAAATTAAGTGCTTTGTTCCAAGATCCTTGGTACTTACTACCTTTCTTCCCAAAGTGGGGCTGCCTAGACTATATAAGACACTCTTAGCATTCAGGAAAAACTCCTTGGAGGTTGGTGCATCCTGTTCAGGAATGTAAAGATTAAGGCATTCCCAATACTTAGGAAGTAGAAGCAGGAGGATCAAGAATTTAAAACAAGTTTCAGCTATGTAACAAAAGCTCAAGACCAACCTGGACTACAAACAAAACAAAACAAAATAAAACAAAACAAAAAACAAACCCCAACCAATCAATCAAACAACAACAACAAAAAAACCTAAGGAGTCTATAGGTGATAGACATGAGGGTCATTCAAGTCTGTGAACAGATGAGTAGATGTTAAGACACCCAAATACTTCATTCCAAGATGGCAAGATAATGATAAACCTAGAAATACACACTTTCTAGCACTGCTAGAGAAGAGGATACCAAATTCCCCCTAGCCAGGCAATGCCAGGGGCTGGTAAGTGCTCAGCCCTGCCATTTAGAGTACCTGCCATACAGGCCATATCCCCACAATTACCAGCAATCCCTTTCCCAGTAAATGTGAGAAAAGAATAATGAGCATTCCCCTTTGAATACAAATTTTTCGGGTGGATCTACAAACTTCAGATGATGTTACAGGTATTTCATTAAAATATTTTAGGATTTACTTTTATTAAAGTATGTGTATTCATTGTGTGTCTATGTGAGGAAGTGAGCATGTGAGTGCTGGTACCCATGGAGGCCAGAGGCTCAGAACCCTCTGGAGCTGGAGCTATAGGCAGTTATGGGTACTGAGAACTCAGGTCCTTCGTAAGAGCAAAATGTGCTCTCAGCCACTGAGCCATCTCTCCAGTCCTAGTTCATGTTTTTACAAGGGGCTCAGAGTAAAGAAATTTTGTGACATCCCATTCATGCTTCCAGTTTTGTTTCCTCTATTTCACAAAGAGTACAAAGACAGACTGGTGCTTAAGCTGTTCAACTCCCTCTGCTCTAGACTTACTTCTGAGAAAGATGATACTCTTGGCTTTTGGGCTTTCCAAAGTAATTTGTTAAAAAGGCTTTACATATTTTCCATTTCTCTACTTTCTTCTTATGACTGTCAGAGAGTGGAGATGAGGTTTGGAGAGTGGAATAGATGCCACTTCTGTTTTCAGGAAAAAATAAAAATAAACAAAATCCCCACAACAGGGTTTCCCTATTGTAGCCCAGGCTGGCCTAGAACTTGCAATCCTCCTGCTTAGGCTCCTAAGTGCTGGGATTACAAGTGTGTGCTACCACATGTGACCTGCTTTGTGAATGATTATGTTTTCCCCCCTCCAATGTAGAAGTGTGGGTATATCCCACAGTAAGATACCAAGTAGCAAAAGATTCAGATTTTAATAGCCAGGCATGGTAGCTCGAACCTGAAATCCCAGCACTTATGAAGGTGAAACAGGAAGACTGCTGCAAATTTAAGGCCAGCCTAGGCTACGAAGTGTCAGTACAACCGAAGCTACAGAGTGTGATGATCTTTGGAGACATAATAACAAATTTGAATAAGGCAAGAAAAGTTTAACCCAAATGCTCTCTTAAAGATCTCAGAAGTAACAAAAAGCAAGAAGTGCAGAAAATGCCTTTGAAATCGACAACCATCACTAGGATCCTGGTCCTATGGAAGAGGCAGGCTTGGTGAGGCTCCTTTGTATATAGGAATGTCCTGCTTCCCTGTGAATAGAATGTGTGTTCAGAAAACAAAATAAATCTGGGCCTTGGTTTGTAGCTCAGTTAGTAGAGTACTTGCCTAGTGTGCATGTGTAGCCAGGATTTCATCCCCAGCACTGCATAAATCTGGCATGGTGATGCATGATTATAATCTCAACACTTGGGAATTAGAAGCAACAGGATCAGCAGTTCAAGGTCATCCTTAGCTATATAGCAAGTTCAAGGCCAGCCTAAGCTACATAAAACCCTTTTTAAGAAAGAAAAGAAAGCTAAATAAATCCAAGGCATATTAGTATCTTTCTAATTTAATCCCTGACTTGGAATAGTTGGGAGAGCTTAAAAACGGTTATAAAGTGCAATGCCCTTAACTCAGCACTGGGGCTCTCTAGGTACTTTTGAATGCTGAGCAACTGAGACAAAATAAATGTTCAAATGAAGGATGCCTAGATTCATGTTAATCATGAAACAAAGTACTCTTGAGAGAAATGAAATTCATGTACTCTGCATTTTGTGGTCTAATGGCATGAAAAATAATTTCAGGAACTAACACTTACTCAAGCCCAATGCCAGGCAAAGAAGCAAAGTCTGAGCCAAGCACATTAGTTAATGACATGAAAAACCTTGGGATTCTCCCAACTCCCCAAAAGTTCCATTTGATATTCTAGTTTTTTTTTTTTTCCCTTTTGTCTTTTTGAGACAGGGTCTCCCTATAGCCCCAGCTGTCCTGGAACTCACTATGTAGACCAGGCTGGCCTTGAACTCAGAGATCTGCCTGCTTCTGCCTCCCAAGTGCTGTGATTAAAGGCATGCGCCACCATGCCTAGCTATTCTAGCATGTCTAACAATAGGTTCCTACTGCCTATTAAAGGTCCTTCAGTACCAGAAGACATTAGACTGAATCAAATGGTCCCCCACTATGAAGTAGGCTACCATATCATAGAATAGAATATATACTTGTGCAAAAGGTAGCCTCACGAGGATCCAAGGAAGCTACCAGTGAGGGTGAAGAATCTGATACATAAGAAAGTGAAGGGCTCCCAGGTTCTTGGCAAAAAATCAGTTTGCTTTTTCTTTAATTTGGATCATAATGAGGTGTCAGTCAATGAAACATTTTGGTGGGAGCCTATGTAAGCAATAACCAGATGAGAACACAGAATGTAATGAGCAGGTAAAAGGGCTTAGCAGAAAGCCAGCTCACTGTTTTTAAAAGTTGGCCCTGCGATCAGCCTTTATCTACAGCTCATTTGACTTCCCAGGAAATCTGGTTTGGATATGACAAAGGAAGCCACAGTACCTTCACATTACCCCAACTGGGGCTTTGAGTTCATCTGTGTTAGTTGGCAAATGGTCTTAAGCTTATTGTGTGGTATGCTATGGTACTCACATAGAGAATGTATGATACAACAAATGCAAACTCCATCTTTTGTTATACAGACAAAATTAGGTCCAAAAGCCTATGTGCCTTGGAAAGATGGGGGTGAGAAAGGAGGATTACATTACAGAAATGGGCTCTGAAAAAGAGCAGAATATTACCCAGCTATCTCCTCTCTCCTGGATTTAATACTCTTTAGAACATGAAATGCAAAAGATTACTCAATGAGAAACTGTATCTTTTGGGACAGCATGAATTCAGAATTAAAAGAAGCTGAGTCATTAGAAACATATATTCAATTCAACCAGAGTTCTCCAACACAAACCTGGGTGGCACATTAACTTAAAAAGCTAAGAAAGAAGGGGTTGGTGAGATGGCTCAGCAGTTAAGAGCACTGGCTGCTTTTCAGAGGACCTGGGTTCAGATCCCAGCACCAACATGGCAGCTAGCAACCATTGTTAATTCTAATTCCAGGGCATCTGATGCGCTCTTCTGTCCTCCACGGGCATTGCACGACACAGGTGTATTTAAACATGGAGACAAAAACATTCATACACATAAAATAAAAATTAATAATAGTTTAAAAGCTAAGAAGATTCTTGAGAATAAAAATTCATTACATTCTGTTTTGGAGTTGCTATCACATTTAGAAACAGAAAATCCACATTTCACTGGGTACTTCTAGATAAGAGGCTGCGATTTACTCCTTAATTTGTAAAAACAACAACACAACAAATAAAACAACAAAAACCAAGGGCAGAAAATGGTAGCAAGTGGGAGAAAAGAATATTAAAGCACTACACTCTAGTAACAATGTTTAAAAGGAAAATAGAATTTACAAAAATGCTAGAACCAAAGTTCTTTAAGACATTATTAGGAACCAGTGGGCCTCCTATTTCATGTACCTCATCTACAAATGCCAAGCAAGCCAGGAGTTTTCTCTCTGGTACCACAGCTGATAAGCCGGCCACACTAACTTAACAACTTTAACCATCTTCTCTATAGCCATCTGCATTCTTGCCTCTGATAATTCCCTTTAAGTATGATTTCTTGGTTCTTTTTACACTATTGTTGACACTATATGAAATCATTGTGCAAACTGTTCCAACTCCAAAAAGCAGAAACAAAACAGGATCAACAACTGAAAAAACTTTTGGCTACTGACCCTACCCTCTGCAACTTTCTCAATCCAACAAATACTCTCCAACCATTTAATGTAAGATAGGGGATGACCTATGACACCATGCGACTAAACATTAATTTTAAGCCAGGAAGTAGTAGCACATAAACTGCTATCTTTCAGTTGTACAAGCAGTTAACAATGATTCAAGTCTGAGGTTCTCAAAGGGAAGATTTGACTTAACACTCACCACATGATGGATGATGGAAGAGAGTACAAGATGATCAAGAGTAGGGAACAACACTGGAGGAAAACAGAGAAGGAAGGCTCTCATAGATGCTTAGTCTCATTGTCAAAAGCTTTTGCTACCACCCAGCACTTTTCAAAGAATTCTCTGCCCATTACATACCTTCCCCTGGTTTGTTGTATC